TTTGCTTCAGGATGAGAACAGAAATCGTGCAGTGGCAGACCAGTGGCAGCAGGAGGCCCCATTAGCTAAAGAGGTGCTTCAGGTTTAGAACAGTTTCAGGTTAAGAACGGACCTCCGGAACAAATTAAGTACTTAACCTGAGGTACCACTGTATTGGATAATCCTAGAATTAGCTGGTTTCACTATAAAGCAGGGACAATGAACCTGTGGCCCTCCAGATGTTGTGGTCCTCTAGATGTCATACAGTCCCACATCACCCCTGGCTATTGGCAATGCTGCTTGGGGCTGATGGGAGCTGCAGTCCAGCCACAGCTGGAGGGTACAAAGTTCTCCACCACTACAGGACAGAATCTAAGTACAGTGGTACCTCAGGTTACATACGCTTCAGGTTACAGACTCCGCTAACCCAGAAATAGTACCTCGGGTTAAGAACTTTGCTTCAGGATGAGAACAGAAATCGTGCTTCAGCGGTGTGGCGGCAGCGGGAGGCCCCATTAGCTAAAGTGGTGCTTCAGGTTAAGAACAGTTTCAGGTTAAGAACGGACCTCCGGAACAAATTAAGTACTTAACCCGAGGTACCACTGTACTGGGCAGCTCCAGGTTGTGGGTGCTATTTAACCGAAGCAGCCTGGGCGCTTCTATCACATCTGCCAACTACTGCCAAGAGCAGGATCCCACGGCATATCTGAACTGCTTCATTGCCCCTGCCCCACATAACCTCAGTAGAGGAACACTCTGCATATTCTCAAGACAACTAATAGGACTTCAGTTAATATTGGCGGGCAGATGTCGCTGGTGAGACAATCCTCATTTGTGGTAGCACCACAAGGAGTTAGGTGTCAGGGAAATGGTCAATAAATAAGATAAATTCAAGCCAGTGATGTCATGAGTCCACACTGGTCACTTTTAGGCATTGCATGGGCACAATTTAGTGGTGTCTGTGCTATATAACCTGGGCTAATTCTCCTCCTTTTTCACTGTTACTTGACAGCCTTGAGTGCATGAAATTACTCTTCAGTCACCCTACCTGGGTAAGCTGCCCCTACATCTAGTAAATTCACACGCCATGGAAAGGGTTACGCAAAACCTCTCTCTCTCTCTCTCCCTCTCTCTCTCGCTCTCTCTCTCCAATTTCTAGTTTATGGCCTGTTGAGAAGTTTGTTGTAGACTTAAAGGTGGGAAAGCGTTCAAAAACATAAGACACATCCTGCAGTCTGATGCAGTGTAGTCCAGGATTCTTAGTCTTATAACTTCATTCTGCAGACCGTATAATCACCTCAGAACTGCTCAAGTATTCCTCACTAGAGAGCATCCTAAGCGCCCCCCCCGAAGCAAAGAGAGAGCAGCTGTCCCCTATCTAGAATTCTCAGTGTTAAATGTACCCCTTTAATTGATGCCTTGAATAGAAAAAAAGGAAAGGGGGGGCGATACCTGTGTAGATGAGTGAGGGAAACACCAGCAATTCTGCAGAGCATCTAACAGGTCTCATAATACCAAACAGATGAAACATTAGACATCCGTTCAGTTTTTAATTTGCTTTGGCTACTGCCCAACCATAGCAGTATCACACATTGTGAACTGCAATATAGAATCACCTTGTTACAGCCAGGACAAACGTTTTGGAATGCTTTTAAAAATATAAATATCAAATAAACTCCCCAATAATGGATGTTTTTAGGCACTTCCCTTCTTCTCCACCCCACCCCCTGCCAAAGTGTGTCGGAGTGCCTGTAAAAGCTTCATATAGAAGGAGAAAGCACGTCTGACCCACTATGCAAAACTAATGTTAACAATTTGGATCTAACCCGCAAAGTGCAATGTGCAAAACAGCACATGTAATGAAATCAGCTTTCAACTAAATTAGGCCCATGGGTTTTGGGGTTTTCTACCAAAAAAATACTTTCCCAAGTTTCAATACTGGGGCGAACCAGAGTGCAAAAGAAGCCCTAAGTCTGTCTTATCCAACTCTCTCTCTCTCTCTCTCTCTCTCTCTCTCTCTCTCTCTCTCTCTCACACACACACACACACACACACACACACACAGTTTCAGGGCAAACTGACTAGCTGAACCTACAGGCAGAACTCACCAGAGCGGTTGTCATGTTCTGATGGGTAGCAATCATGCTGAGGGTTTTTACTGGAGAGAACTCCCACCGCACAAGACAAGGAATGTATATTCTCCTCTCTCTTCGCCCCTCTGGAGATCTGTCAGGTCCTCTTGCTCTTCAGAAGTGGCAGCCAGCGTCACTAGGCCATTTCTTGCAGAAACCCCCCCTTGGCGAACACTTGATATACTGACCTGAGCTGGAGAAGGAGGGGATCAATCAAGATGACAGACCGCAATCTGGGCTCCCTCAGCAAAAAGAAAAGAAATAAAGGGGGGGAAATCCTGCCAATGGCTTGGCAGGGAGCATGGCCAATTAAGGAGGATGGAAGGGAGAAAGCAAAGGGAATGTTCAAGCAGGAACCTAGAAGGTACGTTAACTGTTTAGGATACAGGGTTGGGAGGAGCTAAATGATTACAGAGGGATCCCAAGTTGGGCGGCATCAGATCCCCAAATTTTCAAAGGGCTCGAAAGCCTTGAAAAAGTCACCAGATCCAATAACTTACTCAACGCAGGGAGGCTCTGTCAAATAGCTATGCTATTTTAGGCTGCATCAACAGAAGTACAGAATCCAGATCAAGGGAAATAATAGTACCAGACTATTGTGTTCTGGTCAGACCGCTCCTGGAATATAGTTGTACCTCGGGTTAAGTACTTAATTCGTTCCGGAGGTCCGTTCTTAACCTGAAACTGTTCTTAACCTGAAGCACCACTTTAGCTAATGGGGCCTCCTGCTGCCGCCGCGCCGCCAGAGCACAATTTCTGTTCTTATCCTGAAGCAAAGTTCTTAACCTGAAGCACTATTTCTGGGTTAGTGGAGTCTGAAACCTGAAGTGTATGTAACCTGAAGCGTATCTAACCCGAGGTACCGCTGTACTGTGACCAATTCTGGGCACCACAATTTAAGAAGGCAGTGTCATAGATTATAGAACAATCTCACGATTTCCACGTAAGTTTGTAATGGAGTTTGAAGTGGGCCACAATATTGAAAGCAGTCACCTACCCTTAACAATGGTACTTGCAAGTCCACTCCTTAGCAATTCCTCCATAAAAACTCAATTTCTCTCCAATGCAAACCTATGCATAACCGCAGCCAATAGAATTAAATGGACCCCTTTACTTAATTTTGTTTCAACTCACCTTCTTCATACAGATGATGTAAAGGCCATCCATACTGCCATTATATCACCTACTTCCGCAATTATTACTTGTAAACTGAAGCTCAGGAGTGACTGACGGGTTCAAGGGCCTATGGTATGGTTTTGTCTGGTTTCTTGGCAATTTCCACTTATATTCCACTCAGGATGTAAATGTTGCTCTAGATTCAACAAAGCAGTAAGAATTCAAAAATATAAGCATCCAAGAGAAGAATGGAGCACCAAGTTTTAAAATTCAAGAGCATAAAACAGCTGGGCAGCCAGCAACATACCTTGACCTGAGGTCAGCCCACAAAAGTGAGGCCTGGTGTAATAGCTGCCTATGGGACCGGCTCACTGTCAGCTCATTTTAAGTACATTCTGAAGCTGACCGCTCCAAATTCAACAATTGTTGTTTAGTCGTGTCCGACGCTTTGTGACCCCATGGACCAGAGCACGCCAGGCACTCTTGTCTTCCACTGCCTCCCGCAGTTTGGTCAAACTCATGCTAGTAGCTTCGACAACACTGTCCAACCATCTCGTCCTGTCGCCCCCTTCTCCTTGTGCCCTCAATCTTTCCCAACATCGGGGTCTTTTCCAGGAGTCTTCTCTTCTCATGAGGTGGCCAAAGTATTGGAGCCTCAGCTTCAGGATCTGTCCTTCCAGTGAGCACTCAGGGCTGATTTCCTTCAGAATGGATAGGTTTGATCTGCTTGCGGTCCATGGGACTCTCAAGAGTCTCCTCCAGCACCATAATTCAAAAGCATCAATTCTTCAGCGATCAGCCTTCTTTATGGTCCAGCTCTCACTTCCATACATCACTACTGGGAAAACCATAGCTTTAGCTATACGGACCTTTGTTGGCAAGGTGATGTCTCTGCTTTTTAAGATGCTGTCTAGGTTTGTCATTGCTTTTCTCCCAAGAAGCAGGCGTCTTTTAATTTCGTGACTGCTGTCACCATCTGCAGTGATCATGGAGCCCAAGAAAGTAAAATCTCTCACTGCCTCCATTTCTTCCCTTTCTATTTTTTTCAGGAGATGATGGGACCAGTGGCCATGAGCTTCATTTTTTTGATGTTGAGCTTCAGACCATATTTTGCGCTCTCCTCTTTCACCCTCATTAAAAGGTTCTTTAATTCCTCCTCACTTTCTGCCATCAAGGTTGTGTCATCTGCATATCTGAGGCTGTTGATATTTCTTCTGGCAATCTTAATTCCGGCTTGGGATTCATCCAATTCAACAATAGGAAAATAAATTCTGTGATCTATGCAAATCTTTAGATGAAATATGGCAGGCAGCATTTTCCTCGGATTGGGCACTATCCCTCATGAGAAAAGTCTCCCCCCCCCCCCCCCAAAAAAGGTATTTTCAATGCTTTTTCTTTCCTTTGGGTCTCTTGACCAATCAAACCTGAATATTGGGGTTTGGTGCCACTGACAAGATTTGTTACTGGCCAATGGGATCCTGGCATCCTGGCGTGTTGCTAATCCATAAGAACAAATTAGGCAGGAGAGAAAATGCTGTCAAGACAGATATTCCTTAAGGTTGTCACTTAATTGGGCACTTATCTGTCTGGAAGAAGTGCATTATGATTGAGAGGACAATGGATGTGTGAGCCAGCTCTTAGGCTCCTGCCATTTCCTGGAAGGTGACTCATGAGGAGCCTGCTGTCATGGAAAAATGCAGGGCGAATGTTCAACGAACAGGTAAGTGCAGGTCTCGCAATGTAACCCCATCCCTTAGAAGCATCAGCCACAGGAGAAAGCAAGTCATTTTATTAAAAGTGGTGATTGTTAGCCTGAGGACATTTCATTGAGGGTAACATTCAGGGGAGGGTGCAAAAAGTGGGTGGAGTTGAAATTATATAATATCCCATTCACAGCTATCCACTCCTACTGAGGAGGGAGGTAAAAATATCCGGCCCACTGGCTAGAAAAAGTTCTCCACCCAAAACCAATACTCTTAATGTCTCTAGCTGCTCTGCTTTTGATATCTCATTGCTCATGAGCTCTTCTCTTAGGGGCAAGTGCACATCCTAAACCATGATTGGCTCCATAGCATCCCATACAGAAATGTAAGGCCTGCCTTTTTCACAGATGAACTCAACTTTAGCTGCCATCTACCTTTTCGCCATTCATTTCCTACTTCAGTATCCCAATATATTCTCCTCTTTCTGTTTGATATTATGCCCTTTAAAATCATTCTCAATTCTGCCACATTCTCTCTCTCTCTCTCTCTCTCTCTCTCTCTCTCACACACACACACACACACACACACACACACAGTGCACTCCCTGGTCATCAAGACTTGCTTGAGACAAGGTTTGGGGCAAAGTTCTGAAGCTGGAAGTGTTGTACAGCCTGGCTTTGTAGATACACATTAATGACATTACATTTGTAGGGGGGCCAGGGATGACTGCAATTCAAAATGAAAAAAAGAAGGAAGCAAACCGGACAGGCAAGCAAAGGAAAGGCAGGACTACAAAGAAGTATCTGAAGCACTGGCAGTGTTTTTACAGCTTGATTACATTTCGTAGACACCTTGACCACAATTCACGGACAAAATACAAAACGGTTTAAAAGCCACGGAAGTCCCATGGCAGTGGAGTCCAGATCTACGTTGTTTCAGGAACAGTTCTGAGCCAGAAGATAAAACAGGTCATCCAGCTCAACTCCGCTAATGGCATTAATGGACGCAGAAAGGATGGATCAGAGCAAGTCACAGATCTGGTTTCACTCACCCCTTTTATACAAAATACATGTGAGAATAGTCTGGCATTAAGTGCCCTCGGGGAGTGTGTATGTTCAGCATTCAAACCATGAGAACAGCTCTTTCAGTGTAACTGTGCCCTCATGTGGTTACCAAAGGGTACTGCTGTACACACTCTCTCGTCCCTAGTTATGTAGGATTTCTGGGATCTACGAAGACTGGCAAGGAAAACAGGGACAGAGGCACTCTGGCAGAATTCCCTTGGACCCTGGAAATGTGCAGAGTGCCTGCTAACTACCACAGCCTTCCCTTTCCATACACGCATATGCATTATAATCCACGTCCTAGGAAGTCCAGGTCTCGGGGAGCAGATTCTTTGACAGTCCCCTCCTGACGAGAGCACAGAAAAGACGGGATTTGGCGAGGTCTTGAGGATCAGAGGGACAGCACTGTTGGGAACACAGCGGCACCTGTCAGAGAAATATAAAAAGACAGCAATGTGTGAACCATGGCAACCACCTAGCTCTAAACAACTTGTTGATAGGATCCATGTCCCAGGATCATAAAGAAGACTCTGGATATTGGGGAACCAAAGGTGGAAGGGTTTCCTGGACGAAAGGTCAGAGATTTGAGGGATCCACATCTTGAACCAATTGGCCCGATAAACCTTTCAGGAATGCTATTTGCTCTTGGTGCCTGCGCATCACTGAAATCACTCTCCATATACAGTGGTACCTCGGGTTAAGTACTTAATTTGTTCCGGAGGTCCGTTCTTAACCTGAAACTGTTCTTAACCTGAAGCACCACTTTAGCTAATGGGGCCTCCTGCTGCCGCTGCGCCGCCAGAGCCCGATTTCTGTTCTTATCCTGAAGCAAAGTTCTTAACCTGAAGCACTATTTCTGGCTTAGTGGAGTGTGTAACCTGAAGCATATGTAACCTGAAGCGTATGTAACCTGAGGTACCACTGTACATAAGATCCTCCCACTTACGTCTCCTCCGCATATCCTATCTGCAAAATTTAACAGTTTTAAAACACAGATGTGCTTTCACCTATGCAAGATTGAACGTGCTGCCGCTGGCCCTACTTGAGGGTCGTTTCCATCACATTACCGTACTTTTCCGTGTATAAGACAAGCTTTTTTTTACTCTAAAAGCATGTTTTAAAACGTGGGTCATCTTATACATGGGTAGTGCGTGGGGGGAGACGAGTGATTGGTTGCAGCCGGGAGCAGGAGCTTTTCAGCGGCGATTTTGTGGGTGATTGGTGGATGCGTAAAGTGCTGCTTACGATTGCTGCTGCTGCGTTTATTCAGTGGGTGATTGGTTGCTGCGGCAAGGGTTGCTGTGGATTGGCTGCCGCTTCGTCAACTGAGCGTGCGATTGCCGTCTGCTGTTGGTGAGCAGGCAGACGCATGTTTGCTTCGGCGACGTGAGCGATTATCAGCGTTTGCCAGTCGGGTTAGTGATTTTTTGCATTCCCCACCCCCCAAAAAAGCTCAAAAACTCTGGGCAATCCTCCCCCAAAATTGGGGTAGTCTTATACACGGGGGCATGTTATACACGGAAAAATACAGTATGTCCATGCGGAGACGGCAGTATCGAATCTGCAGCACATGTACTACTAGCTTGTTCTCTTTATAAAGATCTGCATAATGAGCTTATCGACCCTCTTCTATTACCTATACCAGGTCATTTATCTTACAGACCAACGTTACCAAGTGACAGCAAACGCAGCAAATTTTTTAACTGGGGCAATAAGAATAAGATCTACCATCTGACTAACCTGTTTAACGCCTAGAGTAAAGAAAGCCAACTCTTTCATGTGTTTTATTTCTGGTCAAGGACAGTCATTAACTCTTTCATATGTATAGATGTAAATTCTTAGAATGTATTTTGTACAGCCAACCAATCTAGCTATATCAGTATTTTATTGCATTTTATTCCTTTGCTATGGCTTGTGGGCGACGCAAATAAAGATTCTATCTATCAATCGACATAAATTGCTGGGAATTCAAACCTTAACCAAATTCTGCTCATTGCCTGTAAGGTAAAGGTAAAGGGACCCCTGACCATTAGGTCCAGTCGTGGCCGACTCTGGGGTTGTGGCGCTCATCTCGCTTTATTGGCCGAGGGAGCCGGTGTACAGCTTCCAGGTCATGTGGCCAGCATGATGAAACCACTTCTGGCGAACCAGAGCAGCGCACGGAAATGCCGTTTACCTTCCCGCCAGAGTGGTACCTATTTATCTACTTGCACTTTGACGTGCTTTTGAACTGCTAGGTTGGCAGGAGCAGGGACCGAGCAATGGGAGCTCACCCCGTCGCAGGGATTTGAACCACTGACCTTCTGATCGGCAAGTCCTAGCCTTTGTGGTTTAACCCACAGCGTCCCATTGCCTGTAGCGGTGTGGAAAAAAGGAGGTGAGGCATACAATTCTGAAGGTGCTGACCACCCAACTATTATGTTGTGTGCATGTGTACAAAATGCAATAGGCAAGAAGGAAAATGACAGTCGCAAACATATAGATGGAAGTGGGCTCACACGTGGGCTCAGTTATCCTCAAGCACAGTCACAGAGTGCTTGGTGGAAGATTGGTGGGATTATAGAGGTGGAAACCCCAAAGAAAATGCTAAAGTTTTTTATTTATGTAACAGCAGCAGCAGCTAGGATTTTTTGTGCGCAGAAATGGAAGGAAGAAGAAGTCCCCACTAAAGCAGAATGGATAAGTAAGATAATGGACTATGCAAAATTAACAGCAAAATTAAGAGGATCTAATGATGAGTGTTTTAAGGAAGAATGGATGCCTTTTCCGGATTACTTAAGAGAAATACAATGAGCTCACGAGCAGAATTCAAGCAATGAGCCACAGAAGTAATTAGATTATAATATTGTGGTTACGATTTGATAGATAGGGAGAAGCAGAAGGGGAGAAACAACAACTGCATGGCAAATGGGATGGGAAGTAAACAAAAATTAGAGAAAAGACGAAATTGTGGTTTGATTGTATGTGTTAAAAATGTTGAAACGTAATAAAATGTTGAAGGGAAGTTTTCTTTCTGCAGTTCTCTCACTGTGAAGTTCTCTTTCTGCAGTTCTCTTACTGTGGCATTATGGGAAGTCTTACTATGAAATCTTTCTATGCTTACTCTTGCTTCTTTCCTCTCTTACATTCTGGGAAGTTTTTGCCTCTGCACAAGAGTCTGAGAATGTTCTGAACAGTTCCCATTGAGTTCATGAAACAGTGTATCCTGACCTGTTCTTAATGCATTGCTGACCACATTTACGGAACGTGATTGTTGTATTCCTTCATGTTATGTTCTCTCAATATCAATCTTTAGTTATAATTTAATTAGGAGGTTTCATGCCTGTCTAGTTCCAGCTCCATTCCCAGTCTTTTGAACTATCACTGATTGATGTCATATGTTATTCCCGCCTTGTACCTATGTTAACCAATCAGCAACAAGATGCTTTGTGTTTGTATCAACCAATCAGCCACAAGCACACCTGTGGCAATGTTTGTAATATTCAATAAAAGAGAGTTCCCAGGACTTGCCCCGGGCAGACGTCTCTCCTTTGACACCCACCATTCGTCTGTCGTGATTTCAACCCAACATCTGGTGACCCCGACGTGCCAGATCCCTTACGCAGCCAAACCTCATACTTCACCCGACTGGAAAAGTCTCAGCGCGCTACTTCGTGAGTATGGGAGGGGACTTGACTAAGCTCCAGAAAGAGCATGCTAAAGAGTTGCTTTATTTAGTTAGACAGCGGGAGGTGGGTGTTAATATTTCCTTAAAAGAAATTGAACAATTGCTATGTGAGATAAATTGCCAATGCGTCTTTTATCCAGAGGCTGGATCTTTGGACGTAGAGACTTGGCAAAAGATCGGAAAGACCCTTTTGCAGAACCTAGGGCTCCGATTCATTGTCTGCTCACTTGGCAGAAATGTGCTGATGCCGTTGCTAAATTAGGGCCCCAATTGGGACCCCAGGCGTCTCCTCTTCTGGCCATTGCAGACACTCCCCCACCCTACCCGAAACTTTTACCTCCTTCTCCCAGCCAATCCCTCCCTGCTTCTCACCCTCCTCAGCCTGCATCCTCCCCCCCCCATCCCTCCGCCTCAGCCTGATTCCTCCCCCCCCATCCCTCCTCCTCCTGCCACAGCCCCTGTTTGCTCTATAGGAGCTGTGCGTGCTGCGCTCTCTCTGGCAAGGCAAACAGGACTCCTGTCCTTAGAGGAGGAGTCTGAGTGGCCAGGTGAAATGCCGTCTGCTTTCCCTATCTCTTATTCAAACCCTGGAACTGCTCAACAGCAGATTTATTATGAATCGCTTCCTTATTCTGTAATGAGGGAATTAAGGAAAGCCATTGCTGATTCTGGTCTGAAATCCTCTTATGTGACAGGGATGCTAGAAGGCATAGCAACTGGTTACATTATGCTACCTCAGGACTGGAAAGACCTTATGCGCATGCTTTTGTCCCCTGCTCAGTATGTGGTGTTTGAGAGTGAATTTAAACATAGCGCTTCAGCCCTGTCTGATCCTCAACATACTGCCAATGAACTTTATGGTGCTGGTCAGTTTGCTGATATAACTGCCCAAGCAACACTGACACCTGTACATTTTGTTCGCACCGCGACCTGTGTACAACGCGCCTTTCGGAAAGTCCCTGTTTCTGGGCAACCACTGAGCTCCTTTGTGAATATTAAGCAACAGCATTCGGAGCCATACCATCAGTTTATAGATAGATTGAAAGAATCAGTCACTAGGCAGATTGATAACACCACTGCTCAAAATGAATTGATGAAAAAATTGGCCTTTGAAAACGCAAACACTGATTGCAAGAAAGCTTTGCAGTCAATCATACATCGCCCTAAATATGAACTGGCCGATATGATTCAAGCTTGTGCGGATGTCGGTAGCCAGAGCCATGCGATATCCTTGCTTGCCGGCGCAATCCAAGCAACCTCTAAGCCTACTGGTAACTGCTTTAATTGCAAGCGCCCAGGCCATTTTGCCAAGCAATGCAGAGCCCCTGGCGGGGGGGCACACAAGGATGGTTCTGCCTCTAAAGCTAAACCTTCTAAAAAATGCCCGAAATGTGGCAAAGGCTATCATTGGGCTAATCAATGCAGGAGTTCGGGAAACTCCATCCCGGCCTCGCTCTCGGGCCAGGAAAATTAGAGAGCCCAGGAAAATTTGAGAGCTTTCCGCCTTTAATTTCTGCTGCTGCAAACTTTTCAAAAAACACACCCTCTGAATTTGCAATTGATTTGATCAATCAAGAGACCAAAGATTCTGTTCTACCTGGTGAAATTGTGCTTATGCCCACTCAATTGGCAGGTCCCCTGCCTCCTAAAGTCGCAGGTTTAATTTTACCCAAATTTTCTGCGGCAAAGGAAGGAATCCAGGTTATTCCTGGAGTTCTGGATCCTGACTATGTAGGCACAATAATGGTTCAACTCTGGAGCCATATGCCCATGCAATTAAAAAAGGGTGAGTCTTGGGCGCATTTGGTGGTGCTCCCTTCTCATCCTACTGCTTCTATTATGGATACTAATTTGCACGAGCTCTCTTCCTTCCCTCCACAGCTGTCAGCTGTAGTCCAGAGGATTGGTGAGAAGAAACTTCTTCGTAAGTTTAAAATCAATGGTATTGTGCTGGAAGGCTTGATTGACACAGGCGCAGACGTTTCTGTAATTTCTAGTAGTTGCTGGGACCCCACGTGGCCCCTTGAGTCTGCCTCTGCAGTCTGGGGTGTGGGTGGCCCCCAAACCTCTTCCAAAAGCGTACAGTGGCTGCCTGTCTCTCTGCCTGATAGCTCTGAAACCATTGCTTACATCCAGCCCTGTGTGCTGAAAATCCACCTCAATCTGTGGGGAAGAGATTTACTACAACAATTACAAGCTACCATTCAATTTAATGAGTAAGCTTGCACTTCCCCTCAACTGGAAATCTTCTGGTCGTGTCCTGGCTATACGTTTAATTACATTCCAGCAAACATCAGCCATGGCACACCTTGCTGTTTAAGCCGTTTGTCCATCATTTTATCGCTGCAATATTGAAATGACTAATGATTGTGATGCTTTTGTCTCTCTTCTCAGTAGGTTTGAATATATCTCTTTAGTTGCTTCTCTCTTAGGAGTCCCTGGATTGGCTGTACGGAATCGTGTGAACATTACTTCTTTAGCTTGTTATGCAGCAAAAAACTCTGAATTATATTTCACAAGCCCTTCACCTTTTGAATAAAGAACAGTGCACTCCACAATGGACTTTTACAAAATCCTTTTACAAAATGGACTTTTTACATTATATAACCCCCTTTTGAATAAAGAACAGTGAACTATATAATGGACTTTTACGAAATCGTGCTATCATTATTTGCTGATGCTTCATCATTATGGCTGTGAACAAGTGAATGACATGTGCTGTTTCAATATTACTGACAATTCTAGAACCATTCAAAGTCAAATCTCTCATTTGCAAAATCTTACACATCACATTAAACAGGACATTGGTTTTCCTGCAAAATCTTACACATCACATTAAACAGGACATTGGTTTTCCTGGCCTCTGGGATTCTTTCACCCAGTGGCTTACCGCTTGGTTGCCAAATCTTACTTGGCTTCGTAATCTTTTTCAATATGCTATTTTCATAATTTCTATTTTTATTTTACTATGCTGTTTCCTCCAATGCGTTCCCAGCCTCATGAGTCTTTTCTCTCGGCTTCTCTCCCCCCCTCCACCACCCAGTAAACTCCTTGCTGCTTACATTGCGAAATGGCAACACCAACAGTAAACCTTAGGGGAGATGTGGGCGGATTTATTTTGGGCATGCGCTGGCAAACCACGTATCCTGAAGTACTTTTGTCCCATCGACCCTGGCAGGCTTATTTCGGGCATTCGCTGGCACACCACTAATCCCGAAGTATTTTTGCCTTATCCACCTGGAATGGCTCGCAAACAAGAAAAGAAAGGGGGAGATGAAGGGAAGTTTTCTTTCTGCAGTTCTCTCACTGTGAAGTTTTCTTTCTGCAGTTTCTCTCATAACTGTGGCATTGTGGGAAGTCTTACTATGAAATCTTTCTATGCTTACTCTTGCTTCTTTCCTCTCTTACATTCTGGGAAGTTTTTGCCTCTGCACATAAGTCTGAGAATGTTCTGAACAGTTCCCATTGAGTTCATGAAACAGTGTATCCTGACCTGTTCTTAATGCATTGCTGACCACATTTACGGAACGTGATTGTTGTATTCCTTCATGTTATGTTCTCTCAATATCAATCTTTAGTTATAATTTAATTAGGAGGTTTCATGCCTGTCTAGTTCCAGCTCCGTTCCCAGTCTTTTGAACTATCACTGATTGATGTCATATGTTATTCCCGCCTTGTACCTATGTTAACCAATCAGCAACAAGATGCTTTGTGTTTGTATCAACCAATCAGCCACAAGCACACCTGTGGCAATGTTTGTAATATTCAATAAAAGAGAGTTCCCGGGACTTGCCCCGGGCAGACGTCTCTCCTTTGACACCCACCATTCGTCTGTCGTGATTTCAACCCAACAAAATGTAATTGGAAAGAAAGAAAGAAAACTGGGCCCTTACTCTTGGGGCTGCTTTGGCCGTCAGGTTCAGGCACCTTCCAGTCCATCTTCCTCCCTTTCTCGTACAGGCCCTTCAGCACTTTGCGGAACTCCTCGGGCTCCAAGCCCCCAGTGCTCAGCTCCACATATTTCCTGTACAGCTGGAGGGCAGTGCGTGCATCTTCAATACTGTCGTGTGTCTCCCCTTGGATCTTCAGATCTATGGGAAACAGAAAGAATCCAGCCGGTGGCTAATGTTGCCTTGCCTACTCCCACCGCAGCAGGAGAGGGGAAATACTTCTAACCGTTGCTGCTTAGGGCAAAGGATCTGCCCTTCTTCAGTCTATCAAATCTAGGAAACAGCATAACCAACTTTCAGGCCCTGGTATTGACCCAATTCCCTCCTCGGACCCTCCCCTCCTTGGAGCTCTGTCTGTTGATGTTCTCCAGTTCGGCTCTGCGGGCTCAAATCCTCAACTCTGAATTCTCAACTCCAGCACTAGGCTGGGGGCATCAAGGACATTTTGATCCTCTTGACACAGATGCAAAGGGAATTACTGTGCTCGAGGGAATCCTTGACAGCAACGTCAGGCTGGCTGGGAGATGGATAGGCACCGAAGGAGGTCTGTACTGACCCAAAAAATACCAGGCAAGGAAGCGCAGCGAGATCATCCTCTTCCTGGGCATGTGGAACAGGTAGACGGTGTCAATCACCTGGTCCCTGGGAACCTGCAAGAACAGGCGAGGTCCAGTTATATTCTGGGAGCATACGAGTCCTGAAGGCACTCAGCTAAACAGTCCTAGACTTACAAAAAATCCAGGCAGAAGCATAACACTTGCTGCTTTTAAAAAGTTTTTTCTGTTTGTTTTTTGAAGTTTTATTCGAGTTTGGGATTTTTACATACATTATATTATCTCCTTCCAATTTTAAATTTCTCTTACAATTTTTTCCTTTCCCTCCCTTCCCACCCCCCCACCCCATATCCATTGGAAGGGTTCAAACTATTATCCTCAGCCACGAGCATAGCGTCTTTAGTTTCCACCGGATGTCTTTTGTTTCAGTAGTTTTTATCCACTGAAGATAGGGGTTCCATCTGTTCCTTATCGTGGTGGACTTGATGGTCCCATAAAAGTTTGCCAGATGAACGGCTTATTTTGGCACAAGCATTTAGAGGCAACAATCTATTTCTGTGGTTTCTGAATCTTCCTACTGTTAAGAAAGACTTTCTCCACTGATTTGTCTGCTAAGAAATCCCTGTGCGCCCCCTGTACATTGTCAGCTCCTTCACATACAGAGGCCCAAACATATATACATGAGGGACATATATGTCAAGGTTCAAAACAGAGGCAGTCACCATGATGTTGATGACCCGGAAGTCTTTTTGCAATCCATGACCCACAAACTTGACCCCGACATCGATGAGGAAGCGTAGTTTCAGGTAGGTGGATTTGAGGGTGGTGAGGTGTTTGGAGGAGATTTTGGCATCCAGATCCCCCGGCTTGATTCCCGAGTACTGAGTGAGGTAATCCACCACCTAAGAAGGGGCAAAGGAAGATGGAAAGGAAGAAAACATTGCATTCAATGCCAAGGCTTCTTTTAGTTCACAGAGAACGACAGCTCATTCTGTTCGCCTGGAGTAGGGAAACATTTTTAATCTGCTGACCATGTTCCCTTTCTGAGCAACGTCTTGGGACCACATGTCAGTGGTGGGTGGAGCAATGCGTTGAGGCAAGCAGGAGGCTTTGTCTGGCAAAAACATCAAGGAGGGTGAGGGGTGTGGCCTATGGAAAGTCCCAAGGGCCAGGCAGAGAGGCCTAGAGGACCACATTCAGCCCCCAGGACCCTGTGTTAAAAAAAGATAAAGGACCCCTGACAGTTAAGTCCAGTCGCAAATGACTCTGGGGTTGCGGCGCTCATCTCGCTTTACAGGCCGAGGGAGCCGGCGTACAGCTTCCAGGTCATGTGGCCAGCATGACTAAGCCGCTTCTGGTGAACCAGAGCAGCGCACGGAAATGCCGTTTACCTTCCCACCGGAGCAGTACCTATTTATCTACTTGCACTTTGACGTGCTTTCGAACTGCTAGGTTGGCAGGAGCAGGGACCGAGTAATGGGAGCTCACCCCGTCGCAGGGATTCGAACCACCGACCTTCCGATCGGCAAGCCCTAGGCTCAGTGGTTTAGACCACAGCGCCACCCGTACCTCCCCGTGTTAGCCCATCCCAAACAGCTTTCTGCATGCCCATCTCTCACCATCCAGGACTGTAAGGACAAGGACTGGGCTTCACAGCACAGCTTCTGCCATGTGGAATGGGGATAACACTATCTTATAAAGGAAAGTTCTTGAGATGAAGTGAGTCGGGGACCAACTTGTCTAAAGCCTCCTTAGTAGGGAGAGCCAGATGAGCTCTGCAAGGTTTTCGCAGAGAAAGCTGCCTACCTGTTCTTGCGTGGAAATGTAATCATCGATGAAGGGAACGCCCTCGTTGGGACCCTGCCCCCTCACACACGTAATCCTGGCCACCGACATCTGACTGGGCTTGATAGTGGATTTCGTCCCGTCACTGCGAAGCTCAGCTTCCTCCTATTGTGTATTTTCAAGGGGTGAACGAATTATGTTCTGTGTGGCCTCCTCACAAAGAAGAGCTCCCATTGGCCCTTTGAAGAGGCTGCTGCTCAAAGGCCTACAGGCGAGAGGTTCTGGAACCTTCCAGTCCTCCCAACCTGACCTCTCCCCTCTCCCCGCAACGCAATGCCTACCTCGTTGAGGGTGACAAATTCAGCATCCAGCCCCACCAGGTCCCCCACCTGGGGCATCTCATTCAGCATGAGCGGGATGAAAGTGGCGTGACACTTGCGCTGCTTACGGGCGAGCGAGGCCTCGGCAAGTAGCACACTGGCTTCGATAGGGTTCTTAACTGAAAGAGGGAAAGAAAATCTGAGATCAGCTGTTGTGCTCAGTTCCAGGATGCCTTCTGAGATGGCAGTCTGAATGAAGAAAGCAGCCCAGGGAGTCCCACAGGAGGCCTCGTAGGTACAAGCTTCTAATATACAGTGGTACCTCAGGTTACATACGCTTCAGGTTACATACACTTCAGGTTACAGACTATGCTAACCCAGAAATAGTGCTTCAGGTTAAGAACTTTGCTTCAGGATGAGAACAGAAATCGGGCTCCGGCAGCGCGGCAGCAGCAGGAGGCCCCATTAACTAAAGTGGTGCTTCAGGTTAAGAACAGTTTCAGGTTAAATACGGACCTCCGGAACGAATTAAGTACTTAACCTGAGGTACCACTCTACAGTTACAGTCATGCCTTGGGTTACAGACGCTTCAGGTTGCGCGTTTTCGGGATACGGACATGCCGAAACCCGGAAGTACCGAAACAGGTTACTTCCGGGTTTCAGCGCTCACGCATGTGCAGAAGCACTAAATCACGCTTTGTGCATGCGCAGACGCGCCGAATCGCAACCGACACATGCGCAGACGCGGCGCTGTGGGTTGCAGACGCTGCAGGTTGTGAACGTGGCTCTCGCACGGATCACGTTCGCAACCCGAGCGTCCACTGTATATCCAATTTCTCAAAAACAGTGTAATCAGCAAGAAAAAAAAGGCTGGCTTATTCAAACCTACGTGAGGAAGAGAGGGCCCAGAACAGTTTAAAGGAAAACCTGCCAATATCACAGGGCCAATTCAGCTAGAGGATTTACAGTAATGAACCACAATACTTTAAAAGTTCGGGATTTTCCTGTTAAGATCGTATCCAGAGCACAGGTGTTCCAGCACTGAAGCGGATCACATCGATCCCTTGTGACACAGGAAACATGCCAAAAGGTATCCGATGGTATGTAACCAAGCTCTGTCAAGCAGATCAAGTTTACATTCCAAATTATTCAAGACACATGGACACTGTACAGCAGAAATGCCAAAAAACATTGGTGCCTGCGGAATAATCAGGAGACTTGGGGCTGTGTAGCAAAGTGGTCTGTTTTACACAGCGGCCTGGGAGCTACACCAAGGTGCCAAAGTTTCACCCCAAAGCAGTGGTTTCTGGTCTGCGTCACAAACGCAGACGATCCTTTTCGAGATGTAGTGATGATCAGTCGGTTTCACTTCCTCTTGATTTCAACACAGTTCCTTGCAGAACCCACTCAGCTTTGCCCCCTTAATCTCTGTGGCAGATGACTACCTCACAACAACCCATCCCTTGTGAAGGAGGGAGAGCTATTTTGCTTAGTGTTAAAGGGATGTCTCACTGGAATTTCCTATTTGGCATCAGTATTAGGCAAAACAGGGAGGGGACACATGTGGAGGTCAAGATATGGGGGCGCAGGGGCTGTGAGGGAGGCTGACAACACAGGGCCTGCTTCAGCCACAAAACTATTTATCAACAGGGCAGAGACAACGCTTTCCTCCCTGGTCAATGAAAATTCAAAAGCAATGGTTAAATTATCATATGAATACATCAAATATGTGAATAACGGATCAAAGATGAATAACCAAGTGGTGATGTAAGACACTGACTGCACGGGGAGGGGGGAAAAACAGGCACCGTATTTTTCGCTCTATAAGACGCACCAGACCATAAGACACATCTAGTTTTTGGAGGAGGAAAACAAAAAAATATTCTGAATCTCAGAAGCCAGAACAACAAGAGGGATTGCTGCGCAGCGAAAGCAGCAATCCCTCTTGCTGTTCTGGCTTCTGGGACAGCTGCACAGCCTGCATTCGCTCCATAAGACGCACACACATTTCCCCTTACTTTTTAGGAGGGAAAAGTGAGTCTTATAGAGCAAAAAATACGGTATTTCCTGAGCCACACTGTGATGCCAAGCTTGCTACTGGAAAACAGGCAGAGCTATATCTAAGGAGCTCATTTAGGTATCAGCTCCCCACCAATGTTTGGAAGCAAGGCCCGTCCATGTTGCTTTGACCTGGTTATGTTGCTGAGCAATGCAATACCAGCACTGTCTGTCCATACTCCACCAACCATGGTTGGAAGGTGGAGCATTGGTTTAAGAACCCTAGCTGCCCAGGGAATCTGCAGCAGGCCATGGTTGAACCTGGTTCTGCTGAGCCCCCGAGTAGTATTCTCATTTTTTGTTGTTGTTCCAGAGCTCTTTCCATGTAGTCAAAGGCACACATGCACACACACTCACTGGTTAAATTGTACTTGGAGTGGAGGTTCCGCCGCACGTAATAAAGGATGGCAGGCACCTTCCAGCTCATGTCGAATTGCACGGCCTCACACTGCAAATTCAAAAGCAAATAATAAATGAAAAAACAACAATGGGAGTATCATGCGCATTTGAGTTGTGTGTTGTTCTGGGGTTGTCTTCTTCCCTATTGTTTGTTCTTATCCATCAGAAAAATATGCAACTTCTCCATGGCAAAAAACAGGATGCACTGGCATTATTTTAATGTACTTCTTAATGTTTCTTACACTGTGTAATTTTGCGCTAGAATGGGTGCCTGAGCTAGTTGTCTTGTAAATGGAGACATATTAGAGGTTTTTAAAACAAGCTTTTAGCCCACGTAATTGGAGAAAGAGTTTGGAAAAGTACACGGACCATCTCCAAAAAGGCTCTGGGCTTCTGTTAGGAAATCTCTTATGCTCTGCATTGGGCTGGGGAATCTGTAACCCTCCATGAATGTTGATGACTGGGGCTGATGGGAGATGGAGTTCAACATCTGGAAGGCCACAGATTCCTGCCTTTTCCCGACAGACATTTCCCCCCTTCCCTGCAAAACCTCTAGGGCTGTTGCCTCCGCTCCACACCAAAAAAGTTATACAAAATGTGAGGGTCAGAAAAAGCGTGCAAAGTGGAGTTGATGCCAAAAAAAAAAAAAGCTTATTTACATATCTGTTACTTATGTATAGAAATTGAGAGCACAGGGTATGAATCGTCTTGATCTCCTTACCTTATCCACAGGCTCAATGAGAAAGTCATTGAAAAGGTACCACTGTTGGTGTGTGACACCCTGTGCAAATGGAAGTTGCAAGATATATGTCAATGAATTACCATTTTCAGTTACAGATAATGAATGAATCAGTCACACAGGTACGACTGCCTATAGCCAAGGCAGTTCTGTGACAAATATGACAACAGAAAAACAAGCAGGTTCTCCTAAGGCAGCCTTCCCCAATCTGATGCCCTCCAGATGTTCGAGTCTATAAATGTCATCAACCCTGGCCAACATGGCTGATAGTCAGGAATTATGGGAGTTGTAGTCCAAAACATCCAGAGGGACCAGCCATGGGAAGGCTGTAACACCATTGATAAGATAGGAGAATTACAGATTGGTGAATGCAAAATTCAGTGGGATGTACTCTCTTCTGATTGGCTCACCTCCTTCCTTTGGTGGTAGGTCTCCCCCACTTTTATGTGCCCCACCAGGCTGCCCCCAGTCCGGGAGTCCAGAATGTGCACAATGGTTGCCATAAGGTCATAGACGTACGTTGACTCCTGGTCATCCAACACAGTCAGCTGCAAAGAGGAAGGAGAGTTCATCAACTGGCTAGATTTCTTTTCAGTTATTTTAAGCAGCAAGACAAAACAAAACTGGCAAACACTGACACACTGTACGCCAGGCCTTTAAATTCTAACTCCAGGGATCCAGCCTTTCTGAAATCCTGTTGCAATGGCTGCACAAACCAGGATGACGTCCCCCAGGCTAATGGACCACCTTGGGCGTTCATGGACTACCTTAGGCAGATTCTCTCACAGCATTTTAAAAATTAAATTTAAAAAATTAAAATTATTTTAAAAGGGGGGGTGGAAAGAAAAGGATTATAATCACTTCCATATTAAATATTTTTATCAAACAAGCCTGGCTGAATCTGCTCACACTGATAGACAGACACCTATGTGAGATGGGGCGGGGGGGGGGGATATTTTGGAGGATGCTGTTGGATCTGCATAATCCTGCTTTCCGTTCCTCCTGCAGTATGGGCCTTTCCCTTCCTATCTTACCCAGAGGGATCATTTCACCTGCTTTACAAAAGTATTCCCAACATATTACCATGCCCACTTATCTCTGGGCTAAACCTAACTCCTTCACTCTTCCCTCATATGACTGAGGAGCTGAATCAAAACTTTTGAAGTCGCAAGAGGCAGAACTTCTTAACTGCAAGAGCCACTTCACAGGTTGCAGGAGCGCACAGTAAACGTGTGCCTGGGAGCTTCCTGGCGTGTATTCTACTTCATATTTTCATTTACCCAGCCCTCCATTTACAGTCTCTGCTGCTGCATCAGCTGTTAGTCACTGCCTTGAAAGATCGCATGACAATTGTACAGGAAGGTGCCAAAACTGGCTCTACATTCTTCCATCCAACAATTAAAATAATTCTGTACCGAGGTAGCAAATGCCACGGCACACCTGGAGAGGCTGCCCTTAATTGTATCAAAGTGAGCACTGCACAGAATTCCTGAGAAAGCATTTAGAAACCAGGCGCTATGGGGCGACTTTCTTGCCAGAAGTGATGACGTACTTCTGTGCTTTCATCCCAGTTGTAAACCTCCAGTTCCTTGTTCTTGGAGAGCTTCATCTTGATAGAATAAGGAATCCAGATGTTCTTCAGCTCTTCAATGGAGGTATAAGAATGCCCTCCCTCTGCCTTTCCCAATTCGTTCCTGGAAGGCAAGAAAACACACAAACAGGAGGCTTCGTACAATTCAATGCAGTCTGAGCTTCTCTGAAAGGTGTTTATCATCATCAATCTTTATTACGGTCCAGAGACCCAACAAATCGTTACAAAGCAATGCACAAGTTGTTTATACAGAATTCTAGATACCCTAAATATGATGTTCCACGTTTCCCAATCTGTACTGTCATTGTCATTTTACTGCTGCAGTTTTCTGCTCTGTGCCCTTTCTGCTGCATAACGTAGTATAAACAAAACGGAGGTAGACATGATATCGCCTTTCAACCGTTAAAAAAAAAATCGCTAAAGGAAGGGTAAGAACACAAGTAGTACTGAATTGGTAAAGGGACCCCTGACCATTAGGTCCAGTCGTGGCAGACTCTGGGGTTGCGGTGCTCATCTCGCTTTATTGGCCGAGGGAGCCGGCCTACAGCTTCCGGGTCATGTGGCCAGCATGACTAAGCCGCTTCTGGTGAACAAGAGCAGCACACGGAAACGCCATTTACCTTCCCGCTGGAGCGGTACCTATTTATCTACTTGCACTTTGACGTGCTTTCGAACTGCTAGGTGGGCAGGAGCTGGGACTGAGAAACGGGAGCTCACCCCGTCACAGGGATTTGAACCGCTGACCTTCTGATCGGCAAGTCCTAGGCTCAATGGTTTAACCCACAGCACCACCCGCGTCCCTTGATTGAATTGGAGAGAACAAAAAAAAAAGGCTTTTCTAGACAAAAAAAGTAGAGTTTTTATTCTAGGAAGCACACCTAGTTGATAAATGCTTACCATTCCCCAACAGGTATTTCTCTACTTTGGGGGAGTTCCAGACCACCTTTCTTCATCATCAACTTCTTAAAGGCATACTGAAAATAAAAGGTAAACTAGAAGTAGAAACATCTCTTTTCTATATATATTTTTAATGTCTCCAAAAATATTCCAAAACAATTATCACTGTATCCAATTTCTTCTTCAACACAAACTTTCTTCTTGACTTCCCACCCCTCCTTTCCTGATGTTTGTTTTTTACTTCTTTTTATTAGCTGTTTCACAACACATATGTTTTATCTCAGCTTCCTCGTCGTTAGTTCTTTCAGTAATCCACTGCTTATATTTCAAAGATCTCAATAAACGTACAGTCAAATGCCGAGTGATTTCACTTAACGCAAAACCCTGACTACCTCCTCATGCCAGTTCCAGGAGCGAGTCAAGATGAGGGGCCAGGTGAAATGTTAAAAAAAAGGTAAAGGACCCCTGACAGTTAAGTCCAGTCGCGAACGACTCTGGGGTTGTGGGGCTCATCTCGCTTTACTGGCCGAGGGAGCCGGCGTACAGCTTCCAGGTCATGTGGCTAGCATGACTAAGCCGCTTCTGGTGAACAAGAGCAGCACACAAAAACGCCATTTACCTCCCCTTCGGAACAGTACCTATTTATCTACTTGCACTTTGACGTGCTTTTGAACTGCTAGGTTGGCAGGAGCTGGGATCATACAACAGGAGCTCACCCCTTCATGGGGATTTGAACTGCCAACCTTCTGATCGGCAAGCCCAAGAGGCTCAGTGGTTTAGACCACAGCGCCGCCCGCATCCCTAGGTAAAATGTTATACTGTGCCAAATAGAAGGTAGGTAAAAGGCAAAGGACCCCTGGATGGTTAAATCCAGTCAGAGGTAACATTGGGGTTGCGGCGCTCATCTCACTTTTCAGGCCAAGGGAGCCACTGTTTGTCCACAGACAGCTCTCTGGGTTAAGTGGCCAGCATAACTAAACTGCTACTGGTTCAACGGAACACTGTGATGGAAGCCAGAGTGCACAGAAAAGCTGTTTACCTTTCCGCTGGAGCAGTACCTATTTATCTACTTGCACTGGTGTGCTTTCAAACTGCTAGGCTGGCAGGAGCTGGGACAGAGCAACGGGAGCTCACCCCGTCGTGGGGATTGGAACCGCTGACCTTCTGATCAGCAAACCCAAGAGGCTCAGTGGTTTAGACCACAGCGCCAACCCACTCACCGCGCACATCTGCCCTGCCTCCAAAACCTCTGGCCATTCACATGGGGTTTCACATCTGAACAAGGGCCCAAGAGGATATTCTCAGATTGTGAGGTCCATTTCCCAAATCTTATTTTGGAAACAGACAACCTTGACATGAGCTTGCATGTGCTGGATTGTCTGCACATACACCTTATTTGAACAACCAGTGAGGTTGGGAGTTGGCATTGCTGGTTGGCAGGGTCTGTGTGTTTGTTTGTGTGTGTTTGTGTGTGTGTACAGTGCACTCTTGCTCCTGCTCCCCCATAGTAGACAGGGAAGCAATCAAAGTATTGAGTGATCTGGTTTAAGGGTGCCCTCGAAAGGCAACTGAATGGAAACCGAAAAGAAAAAGAAAAAGGCACTCTCCTATACCTCTGCCTGCATCTTCCAGAATTCTGCCTCCTTGGAGCTGTTTACTTCACAATTAATGACCAAAACATCAGGCAGGCAGCGGATGTTGCGGGTCTGGACCTTGAAGAGCAGAGAGAAGATGTGCAATGTAAGAGCAAGCGACACAGATTCATGCTTGGTACTACTGTTGCAGCTTTATTTTACAGCAGTGCTTCCCAAATTTGGGCCTCCAGCTGTTGCTGGGACTACAACTCCCATCACCCCTGACCTGCTAGCTTGGGATGATGGGAGTTGTAGTCCAACAACAGCTGGAGACCCAAGTTTGAGAAACACTGTTTTTGCAGTCACAAGGAATGCAAATTGATCTAATAATCTCTTGCTTTTTAACAGATGGCACCACCAGAGGTTTCCTAAGATGCCGATGGCTGAAGTGAGCGGAGATGAAATCATATTTGCCCCCTAGAATTTCTTGCCCCGTCTGCGGTATCAGCTTAAGAATTTAAACTTCCCAGCGTAAGGATGCTTTATCTGAGACCGTACTAGCTGGAGACCTGGAAACTGATAGAAACTTTGGGGTGGTCAGTTCTCTTATCAAGTGCTCTGCAGTGCTTGCGTTCTCAGGCCCATACTGGCTGATGCAGCCTTGCAAGACACATTAGATTCCCCTGTATCAATGCTGCAGCCCTGGTCCAGGTAGTCCATTCACACGGGCTTGCTCTATGCAACTGTTCCCTCCCCACTTACCGTGGGTTGGTATTTCTCGCAGTTTTCGCACCAGGCTTGGGTGTTCTGTTCCAGGCAGATGCTTCGCTTTAAGATCTGAGCAAATTCATAATCCTTGATTTTATCTTAAAAGGAGGGAAGGAAAAAAGGAGGGGATTTTAATTTCCAAAAAGATCAAATCAAGAAGTACCATATTTTTCGCTCCATAGGACGCACTCTTTCCCCTGCAAAAATGAAGGGGAAATGTGTGTGCATCCTATGGAGCGAATACAGGCTCCTTGGCTTCAGCGATAGCAACGCGAAGCCTCCAAAGCACAGAGGGAGAGCTCCCCCCGCACTCCGGAGGCTCCGGGTTGCTTTCGCTGAAGCTGCCTGAAGCCCGCGGAAGGCAGGGAACTCCCGCTGCACTCTGGGGGCTGCAGGCAGCTATCCGCAAGCCTTCGGAGTGCAGCAGGAGTTCCCGCTGTGCTCCGAAGGCTTGCGGATAGCTGCCTGAAGCCTGGAGAGTGAGAGGGGTCGGTGCACACCTATCACTCTTGCTCTCCAGGCTTTGCTTCGCTGGAGAGGCGCTTAACAGTTTTCCCTCTGTGCGCAGCGCCCCTTCAGTGAAGCGGGAGGAGAAATGGAAGGGGCTCCATTTCTCCTCCCGCTTCGCTGAAGGGGTGCTGAGCAGAGAGGGGGAGAATCTTTTTTTTTCCTGTTCTCCCCCTCCTATGGTCCGGTGCGTCCTATAGAGCGAAAAATACGGTAAAACTTAACCAGAAGAGCGCAGAAGAAAACCCTAACCCTGCACCATTCTACAGATGCTCCTATCCTATTTTGAGAACCCTAGCCAGTGCCTTTCCAGGCAAGTTGTTCCAGCCCCGTAAGCTTACAAGAACCAACTGAAAGGCAACAAGCCCACACCTTCTGCCCCTGGTTTAAAGAATGAAACAATCCCCATTCCATTCAACTCTGTGCTTTTCCCACCCATGCACTCTCACCCCTTAAAAGTCATACCGTTGCTCTCAGGGTAGGACAACGTAAAGAGGAGTGTGGACGATACACGGACAGTCTCTTTGCCACAGCGGCACATGCTGCAGTTCTCCACTTCACAGCTGAAAAGCTGCCCGATGACCGAGTCCCCTGAAGATCCGAAGTTGCTAGAAAAGACAAGGCAAGATCAGCAGAGTGCCGGGTTCAGTATTTAGGAGGGAGATGCTGAAACACCTCTGCCAGTTACTTCACAAGACAACAGCTTCCAAACATAGCTAAGTTGGGATTGTTGGGCCCTAACCATTTTCATCTTTTCAGCCCAATCTTAATCCCTAGCCGGAATTAAGATTGCCGGAAGAAATATCAACAGCCTCAGATATGCAGATGACACAACCTTGATGGCAGAAAGTGAGGAGGAATTAAAGAACCTTTTAATGAGGGTGAAAGAGGAGAGCGCAAAATATGGTCCAAAGCTCAACATCAAAAAACCGAAGATCATGGCCACTGGGCCCATCACCTCCTGGCAAATAGAAGGGGAAGAAATGGAGGCAGTGAGAGATTTTACTTCCTTGGGCTCCATGATCACTGCAGATGGTGACAGCAGTCACGAAATTAAAAGACGCCTGCTTCTTGGGAGAAAAGCAATGACAAACCTAGACAGCATCTTAAGAAGCAGAGACATCACCTTGCCAACAAAGGTCCGTATAGTTAAAGCTATGATTTTCCCAGTAGTGATGTACGGAAGTGAGAGCTGGACCATAAAGAAGGCTGATCGCCGAAGAATTGATGCTTTTGAATTATGGTGCTGGAGGAGACTCTTGAGAGTCCCATGGACTGCAAGCAGATTCTTAAGGAAATCAGCCCTGAGCACTCACTGGAAGGACAGATCCTGAAGCTGAGGCTCCAATACTTTGGCCACCTCATGAGAAGAGAAGACTCCCTGGAAAAGACCCTGATGTTGGGAAAGATGGAGGGCACAAGGAGAAGGGGACGACAGAGGATGAGATGGTTGGACAGTGTTCTCGAAGCTACCAGCATGAGTTTGACCAAACTGCAGGAAGCAGTGGAAGACAGAAGTGCCTGGCGTGCTCTGGTCCATGGGGTCACGAAGAGTTGGACACGACTAAACAACAACAACCCTTTTCAGGCGGAAAACACAACCAAACAGGGAATGTGACAGTTGGTTGCAATCCCATGTAACCTGAGAAGAGCAACGCTGCTGAATCAGACCAAGGGCCTAGCTAACCCAGTATCCTGCTTCCAACAGAGGCCAGCCAGAAGCCTCTGGGAAAGCTTGCAAACAGGACATGAGCGTAATAGCAATCTCCCTTGCAACTGGCTTTCACATTGCCACTAGCTCTGAAAGCGGTGTGCAGTCATCGTCAGCATGAGCCAATCGTGCAGTGCTCTGTAGTTTGCCCATAGTTCAAATTCTGAACTTTAGAAAGCGGATGGCACTCCAACAGTGTCATGGAATTCTACTCAGTATTGATCCAGAATAGATTCCAACGTATAGTTAGCAGAGTAACAACTTAAACACATTGCAGGATTCCCAGAAAATATACCAGAGGCAATTGTATTTCATCCAGCAGAGCTTTACTGCTACTGAAGCAAATGAGCATAATGCTCACAAATCCAGTACATTCAGGATTGGCACCGTCCATAAGAAATCCAGTTGCTGCGGATTTTACTTTTTTATTTTAATGTATTTTTTATTAAAGATTTCTTGGTTTACAAAAGTATGTGCAATGTCTCTTTTTTCAAGTTACATTTTCTACAGATCAGTTTCATTTGTTGAGACATTAGTGTTGCATTAGGAAGAAAAGGGGGGAAACTGACAATAACTTATAGTAAGTCTAAACCTTAAAACTAAGGATGCTATGTACAGAACACCACAACAGAAGGAAAAGAGATAGAAAGAGAAAGTGAAGTCCAGGCTCCTTCCGGCCCTACTTTTATAGTCAGCATGACCTTGACAGAAAGAGATAAGAGAACCAGTTTAAGCCAGCTGTACTTAGCTTCTATGAAGGAATACACTGGAACCTCAGGTTACGTACTGTCTTCCTTACGAACGTTTTGGGTAATGAGCTCTGCTAACCCAGAAGTAGGTCTCCTGGTAGAGAACTTTGCTCTGGGATGCGAGCAGAAGACACATGGTGGCACAGCGGCAGCGGGAGGCCCCATTAGCAAAAGCGCACCTCAGGTTAAGAACGGTTTTGGGTTAAGAACGGACCTCCGGAATGAATTACAGGTACCACTGTAACCCAAACATGAACCTTCTGCTTGCTTCTTTCGCACACAGAAGCTTCCAGAACCCTCTTGAATTAATTAGAATAGGAAAGATCTCTACACAGTAGTTTAAGTCGGCATATCCCAGGTACACCCTCTGCGCATGTGTGCCTTCTGCCACCAGTAGTCATGGCCTTCTCTCTCATGCATGGTTGATGGGAAGGCTGGTTTGGGGAGGAAAGCATGGGAAAACCCTTCTTCCTCTCAAACAGAATCGAAGGCTAGAGAGCCAACAGGAGGAATGAGAAGGAGACACAGCTTTTGTGTCTACTGGAAAGGAGATTTCTGCCAGCTGGGGGAGAAGGGGATCAAAAGCAGAGGATGATACTGGGCATAGTCGGCCAAATGGTGTTAAAAAAGGATAGAACTTTCTTTATGTATGCAACAACAGCAGCAAGAATACTTATCGCGAAGTATTGGAAGACACAAGAACTTCCCACGCGGGAGGAATGGCAGATGAAACTTATGGACTATATGGAATTGGCGGAAATGACTGGCAGAATCCGAGACCAGGGAGAAGAGTCGATGGAGGAAGACTGGAAGAAATTCAAAGACTATCTTCAGAAACACTGCAAAATTAAGGAATGTTAGAGTGATGATGGACTGAAAACAAGTGGTTTCCAGCTGCACAGGTTAAAGTTAAGGATAGATTGAGATTAAAGATTAAGATTAAAGAAGTTTAAAGAAATGGAAATTTGATTTTAAAAGGGGAAACTTTAAAGTTATATGATATTAAGATTAAAGGATTAGGTTTAAAAAAAAAGTTGAAGTTATATATTATAACATTTTATTAAATTAAAGATTGGGATTAAAAAAGTGGAAAAGAAACTGCTGGACAAATAATGTGGATTGGAATACAAAAGAGGGAGGTATGAGGAAGTCCAGAAAATAAGTAACTTAAAATTGGAAATGGAAAAGAGAGTTTGTTTTTAATTGTTTTGTGTTTATATTGTTAAGTTTTGTATTGTTTTTTGTGTGTGTTGTTTTTCTTTTTTTGTTGTTTAAAACTTTAATAAAAAATTATTTAAAAAAAAAAAACATTAAAAATTTCCCTAAAAAAACAAAAAAAAACAAAAGCAGAGGATGATACATGGGGTAAACCTCATCAGTGTGCTCAGCCGTGACTTTGGCTGTGCTCACCTGCGTTAGGGCATAGTCTGTATCTGAGGTCAGAACAGGACAGACTGAAACAATTTGGAAATATACTTTAAACCAAGTTAGACCTAGGAGAGGAAGCAGAAGAAACAGGCATGCAGGTTCTCAAAGTTTCCAAGAGATTAAAAAAAAGGGGGGAAGGACATGACCGTTACCTGCTGCCAATGCCTCGGTAAGCCTGAGGTCCCTCCTGCTCTTGAGTTTCCTGATGGAGCTGGGTCAGAATGAAGCGATTCCAGCTCTGAACCAAACGGCCTAGATTCACTTTCCCTGTAGCCTCGTCAGAGTCCGCCAAGATCAGCCCCAAAGCAGCTGCCTCCGGAATGGTGCGGAAGGCGCGGAGGAAGTTGCTGCCCTGAAATGAAGGAAATGGCCTTGTATTTTTTAAAAAATAAAATTCTGGGTGCGCTCAAGCCCAACCAAAACCCTGAAGAACTGAGCTCCAAAGTGTTCTTCTATTCCTCCTCACAGGCACGATAGGCTTGGAACGCATGTGAGCATGCGCACTCGCTCATGAACGTAAGAACAAAATGCAAGCTGGGCAAAGGAGGTGGGGGACTGAGTTGGGTGAGTGTCAAGAGGAATAGTAGCTCACGGATAATAGTGGCAGGCAGCTGTGCTGTTCTGACAGCTGCCACAGGGCAGGAGTAGCATGACATGATGAGCTCAAAGGCCTAACACACTCCCTCAGCCCAGGATAAGTCATTGTAGTTTGTTTGGGGACAAAGGCCTACTCATTTTTTTCTTTTGTTTCTATTTTTTGGTACCTTGGAAGTCGAACAGAATCCGTTCCGGAAGTCCATTCGACTTCCAAAATGTTTGGAAACCAAAGCTTAATGGTAAGGATTTGCTGAACTAGCAAACTGAACTGGAATACAAAAAAGGGAGGTACGAGGAGGTCCGGGGAAATAAGTGTAAGGAAGATATGCTATGGAAAATTAATGTGTTTTTAACTGTTTTTATTTTGTATGTTTCTTTTTATTTTTCATTTCTTTGTTATACCTTAATAAGGGTTTTTTATTCTTGTTGCTGTATTTTGTATTTTCTTGTATTTTTACTTTTTGTTTTTGTGTAATTCTTGTATTCTTTGAAATTTTAATAAATATCATTAAAAAAAACCCAAAAAAACAAAAACATGTTTGGAAACCAAAGAGCGGCTTCTGATTGGCTCAAACACTCGTTTCCGGTTTTCGATCGTTTGGAAGCTGAAACGTACAAGTTCCAAGGCGTTTGGCAACCAAGGTACAACTGTAATCTCTTATTGAAAAGGTCTCAATAATAAAGAAATAAAGTGATGCAAATAAAAAAAATGAAAAACACAAAAATGTGAATATACGAATACATTCAATATATGAGAAAATACCCTAAAACCATACGTTCTTATAAAAATTTGATATTATCCTAATACGTATGCAAATATTAATAGCCTACTACACTTTGTATAAACATGTCCAATACAATGTCATATTTATCCAAAGTCTACATTTGTAAGCAGTCCATTCCCAAGTTGTGAGAGGCCTACTCAAGAGAAAGGGTATTGTACTTATGATTGGGGCCTAGAGCACGGAGCAGAAAATGACTATACAGAGGCACATTTTCTGATCAGCTCATAGAGTAAGGCTGGGGAGAAGGAGTCGGCAGTGCTTCTCAAATTCCTTCTAAAGTCTGGGGCAACCAGCCAAGGCCAGATGGGAACTTCTGGCAGGGTGTGTGAAGCAAACTCCTTAGACCAGCCCCATTCAATTCTTTGAGAGAACCTGGGTGGGATAATTAACACCCCAATTGTGCTACAACCCCAAGGAGACCACAGCCCCATTTCTGCCACACAGCTCTGCAGCACAATAGATAGGAGCCAGCACGAAGGGAGCTGCTACTTTGGATGGCAGGGCTGCCCTGGGCTGCCCCCACATGCAAGTGGCCTGCACTTTAGCACAGCAGATGGAAGAGTGTGAGTCACATTTCTGCCCCCAACAGTGCTCCACAGCTACGCACGTGTCTTGGCTGAGCCTCGGCCCAGCATACCTGAAGGAGCGTCTCCACCCCCATCGTTCAGCCCGGACACTGAGGTCCAGCTCCGAGGGCCTTCTGGCAGTTCCCTCACTACGACAAGTGAGGTTAGAGAACTAGGCAGAGGGCCTTCTTGGTAGTGGCGCCCGCCCCGTGGAATGCCCTCCCATCAGATGTGAAGGAAATAAATAACTATCTGACTTTTAGAAGACAGCCCTGTTTAGGGAAGTTTTTTATGTTTGATGTTTTATCGTGTTTTTAATATTCTGTTGGGAGCTGGCCAGAGTGGCTGGGGAAACCCAGCCAGATGGGCAGGGTATAAATAAATTATTATTATTAATAATATCATCATCATCATCATCATCATCATCATCAATGGCTCATCCCAGGACAGGCAGCCCCTCCTTCCACCCACCTGTCTGCCCACATCTTTGCCAAGAAAAAAATACAGTGGTACCTCAGGTTACAGACGCTTCAGGTTACATACGCTTCAGGTTACAGACTCCGCTAACCCAGAAATAGTGCTTCAGGTTAAGAACTTTGCTTCAGGATGAGAACAGAAATCGTGCTCCGGCAGTGCGGTGGCAGCAGGAGGCCCCATTAGCTAAAGTGGTGCTTCAGGTTAAGAACAGTTTCAGGTTAAGAACGGACCTCCGGAACGAATTAAGTACTTAACCCGAGGTACCACTGTAATGCTAATCAAGGCCTGTTTCAGTCTCATAGGCTTTCCTGCCTATGACTCCGAATAGACATCTCTACTCCAAAAAGCATCCTGTGAAAGATGGAAGGATTCTGCACGGTGCCTTCCATTTGCCCATCTTTACCTGACAAGGGTCTCCTCTGGACAAATCCAGCATGTGGAAGAGGAAGCCCAGCTCACAGCTCAGGCAGAACTCTTTCTGGCACAAGTGGTTCTGGACCAGGCAGCGCACCGGCTCTAGGAAATACAGGACCTGAAGAAAGGAAGATGGGTAGATGAGACCGAGGTTATCACAGGAAGGCGGAGGCAATCCATCACAGAGAAAGCAACTTTGCACCCACCTGGATCATGCAGTTGCAGTAGGAATTTGGAATATGGGGCTCTAGCCCGGCAAAGAGAGTCTTGTTGTAATGTTTGAAGTCAAAGTCCTCCAAGCCCAACTTGGAGTATTTAATTGTGACCTACATCAGGAAAGAAAATATAATTGTACAGCAAGGATATTGTTTACACGGGAGCACACACTTATTCGACACGCCAACATGAGGAAGAGAACCACAGCCCAAGTGAAACTGTTCAAAGGCTCTTTGTTTCTGGCACACCTGCACCTCCGCAAGGTACCTGCACGAGCTCATCCGATTCTCTCGAGATCTTAATCTGCCCAGAAGCCGAGATCGCAATGCAGATTTCAGGGCTGTTCTCATGTGACTCAAACCCACGAATGGAGGTAACACGAAAATCCCCATTCGCTTTTCTTGCTTCACAGATGGCAACATGAGGCAATCTGCCTCGCAAGGAACAGGCTGTGCGCAAGACTTCTACCCACCCTGGTCTGGCAAGCTTTCATTATGCAAGAGAGAGGACTGTTCTACCATAGTCTAATTTATGCTGGGACAGAATGGGAATTTATAAGGCTGGCTTCAAAGTGCATGGCCCTTCGTGCTGCCTTCTGGTGCCCCTAGAAAGCCAGTGTGGTGTAGTGGTTAAGAGTGGTAGTCTCGTAATCTGCGGAACCGGGTTCACGTCTCCACTCCTCCACATGCAGCTGCTGGGTGACCTTAGGCTAGTCACACTTCTCTGAAGTCTCTCAGCCTCACTCACCTCACAGAGTGTCCGTTGTGGGGGAGGAAGGGAAAGGGGAATGTTAGCCGCTTTGAGACTCCTTAGGGTAGTGATAAAGCGGGATACCAAATCCAAACTCTTCTTCTTCTTCCTAGTCACTTTTCTTCCTGAAAACGCTTTGCATCTCCCTCTGTAGATATGGGGCAGGCTTCAACTAAGGAGTCCCATCAGCAGAAGACCACCAGAAAGACTTCTACTTGTACAACAGGGTTTTCCCCCCACTCACCTCATGTGCCCCACAAAATTAGCTCAATGGGGTCGGGAGAACCCCTGGAACAGAATGCAGGGGAAGAAGAGGGGGAATTGTTCTGTCTGTAAGCTGAAATGCTTGCCCTGACGAAAAGATCGAAGTAGTACAATGCTGAATTCCTTCCATTATATATCAAATATACATTCGTTCATACCTTCCTCTGCAAAATATCCAACACCCTGGCAAGTGTTTAAACACAGACCTTCCTGTATTTCTTTGCCACCATGTAGATATGCGGTTCCTCTTCCCGTCCAATGGGGGATTCAGGGACCTGGCTGAAATTATCAAACTCGTTGTCCAGCTCTTTCAGTCGATAGGGAATCTGAAAAAGACAGTGGGATGCCAATCCACAGAGCTTCTGCACTGTAACCTTTCCAATTTTGGACTTTCTAATATCAGAATGAGCTACCCTCAGATATCAGAAGAGAGGTAGGAGCATGTGAAAAATACCGCATGCACCCTGTTTGAACCTAAAACACCAAGGAGCCTGGATAGCTCAGTTGCTTAGAGCGTGGTACTGACAATGCCAAGGTTGCAGGTTCGATCCCTTAATGGGGCAGCTGCATAATCCTGCATTGCAGGGGGTTCAACTGATCAGGGGTCAGCAAACTTTTCCAGCAGAGGTCCACTGTCCCTCAGACCTTGCAAGGGGGGGCAGACTATATTCTGGAAAAAAGAACTGAACAAATTCCTATGCCCCACAATTAACCCAGAAATGTATTTTAAATACAAGCACACATTCTGCTCATGTAAAAACACCAGGCAGGCCCTACAAATAACCCAGAGATGCATTTTAAATAAAAGGACACATTCTACTCATGTAAAAACACGCTGATTCCCGGACCGTCCGGATTTAGAAGGCGATTAGGCCTGGATCCGGCCCCCAGGCCTTAGTTTGCCTACCCATGGACTAGATCAGGCACCCCCAACTTGCGGCCCTCCAGATGTTTTGGCTTACAACTCCCATGATCCCTAGCTAACAGGACCAGTGGCCAGGGATTATGGGAATTGTAGTCCAAAACATCTGGAGGGCTGAAGGTTGGGGATGCCTAGAATAGATGATCCTCGGGATCGCTTCCAACTCTACAATTCTATGATCCTAAGGCTGCTACCTGGCTTTTTCTCACCATGTTGGCTCCAAAATGCACATCCATGTAAGTGACACACAACACAACACAACACAACACAACACAACACAACACAACACAACACATGGAGCTGCCTCTCACCCTATGAGGCAGAAGCAGATAGGCAATCAAAGTGTTAGCTGGCATCCACTTCTAAAGCAGCATTTTAAATTTCAGGTTATGTGAGGTTACAGGACGTGCTGGTTCTTAAGCTAAGCTATACCCAGCAGGATCTACCTTCCTTAAAAAAAAACAAAAAATCAGCATATTCTGTGGCATTACAAATCTAAAGGAAACATATTCAGAATTCAGATGAAGAAATCAGTTCCCCAGCCACACCCTAAACCACAAGCCGTTCTGGAGTAAACAAGATATTTAACAATACATAGTTAAAGCTCTGGTTTTCCCAGTAGTGATGTATGGAAGTGAGAGCTGGACCAGAAAGAAGGCTGGTCGCCGAAAAATTGATGCTTTTAAATTATGGTGCTGGAGGAGACTCTTGAGAGTCCCATGGACTGCAAGAAGATCAAACCTCTCCATTCTGAAGGAAATCAGCCCTGAGTGCTCACTGGAAGGACAGATCCTGAAGCTGAGGCTCCAATATTTTGGCCACCTCGTGAGGAGAGAAGACTCCCTGGAAAAGACCCTGATGTTGGGAAAGATGGAGGGCATAAGGAGAAGGGGACGACAGAGGACGAGATGGTTGGTCAGTGTTCTCGAAGCTACCAGCATGAGTTTGACCAAACTGCGGGAGGCAGTGGAAGACAGGAGTGCCTGGTGTGCTCTGGTCCATGGGGTCACGAAGAGTCGGACACGACTAAATGACTAAACAACAAATAACCATCACCCAAGAAGTACAACTCTCAAGGTGTTCAACAGGCGTGAAAGTGCCAAACAGCCAACTAGCTACCTGGTTTCGGAGCTTGTTCCTGGGGTTTGGAGCATATCCAATGAAGCCAACTTTCTTCATGGCACGAAGGATCTCTGGGTCAACCGCTGGGGCTCGTCTACAAAACAAACTGTGGCTCAGACAACGCCTTCCAACCCCATTTGACAGTGAACTCCCCAAAGCAGCGAGGCAAGCTTCCCAAAGAGATGCAGCCATTTATTTGGGGAGCTGTGGGATCCCAGGGACCGTGCCCAGATATTGGAAGAATTAAAAATCCCCTACCTCTATTACTGGATGCAATGTTACCAGACTCTGAAAGGAATCTTATGTTCCTCCCAGGATACCCAGAGTGAATTAAAATAATATTTAAAGAGGGGTAAATACAGAATAAGTGGGACGCGGGTGGCGCTGTGGTCTAAACCACAGAGCCATGAGTGCCGCAACCCCAGAGTCGTCCGTGACTGGACCTAATGGTCAGGGGTCCCTTTACCTTTTTAAATACAGAATAACATGCAACGTCTATACAGTGGGACCTTGGCTCCCGAACATCTTTGTTGCCGAACAAATCAGCTCCCAAACGCTGCAAACCAGGAAGTGTTCCAGTTTGAGAATGTATTTTGGAAGCCGAACATCCGACGTGGCTTCTGCCTGAGTGCAGGAAGCTCCTGCAGCCAATCGGAAGCTGTGCCTTGGTTTTCGAACGGTTTTGGGAGTTGAACGGACTCCCGGAACAGATTATGTTTGAGAACCAAGGTACCACTGTAATGTAAAAGAACAAAGTGCCGTATTTTTCGCTCCATAAGGCGCACCAGACCATAAGGCTCACTTAGTTTTTAGAGGGGGAAATCAAGGGGAAAAATATTATTTCCCCCCTCAGCTTCAAAGAGCAGCTTCTTGGGGCTGCTGGGGGAAGCCCGGTTCCCCCCCCCCAGCCCCAAAGAGCAAAGAAGCCAAGACAGCGAGCGGGATCCATCCCGCTGGCTGTCTTGGCTTCCTCTTTAGCTGTGCACAACCTCTCCGGCCGGGAGAGGCTGCACGCAGCTATGGCAATTCCCCCACCTCCCGCAAAAGCGCACAGGAGCCTTGCACCTTTTAAGGAGCGTGTGGCTCCTGCGGGCTTTTCTATGAGGAGGGAGAAGAGACTGACTGGCCGCGTCAGTCCCTTCTCCCTCCTGGGGAAAAGCCCACAAGAGCCGCGCAGAGCTTGTGTGCGGCTCTTGGGGGCTTTTCCTGCCTGCCTCCCCCCTGCATTCGCTTCATAAGATGCACACACATTTCCCCTTACTTTTTAGGAGGGAAAAAGTGCGTCTTATGGAGCGAAAAATACGGTAATTAAATTACAGCCCGATATCAACAAGGAGCAAATTAGAAGAAAGGAAACCACCAAGAACTCTCAAACCACCACCCAAGAAAGTGGGGGTGGGGAACCTTTTGCAGCCTGAGAACTTCCAGGGTCCACATGATGGTGGTGGGAGGGGCAAGCGGTAAAAGTGGGCAGAGAAACAAATGTGAATTTTACTTTTGTACAGAAAGCTAGTTTCTGCACACACGCCTCTCTATTGCCCATCTAGGCAAGAGGCATTAATGGAGCTCAAGGACACATTACAGCCAGACAAAAAGAGTACTGAGGGCCAGACAGAGGCCCTCATTTGGCCCACAGTTCTGAGGTTCCCCACCCCTAGACCCTAAAGGTCTGTACTTCTCTCTAGATTTCCTATTCTAAAGAACTACCTGGGAGCAGGGGCAGAGTTGGAAACCGGCCAATCTGACAACAGGGACTCGGTGGTCAGCGGCACAGGTATAAGCGACAGAGGCATGAGATCCTGGTTCCAGTCAAGGTGGGGCAAGGTGTCCACAATGCAAGGCAAAGCAAAGTCAGTCTCCCGGGAGTAGGCATTGAAGGTGATCTCGGGCGAGTCAGTCCACAGGTGGACACAGCCCTCGGAGTCTCCAAAAACCATGGCTTGTTTGCTGGCAGACACATCAAAGCTCATGATCAGCTGGCCCACGGTATTGACGTGGAAGATGTCAGCCGGATTGGCCAATCCGGTGGGTTCGCAGAACTGACACTGACCTAGAAAGGAAGAGCAAATCACGAATTTTAATAGCCCAAAAGTGGAAAACGCAAGAATTACCAACTGTGGAAGATTGGCAGATGAAGATGATGGACTTTATGGAGCTAGCTGACCTTACTGGAAGGATCCGCGACCAGAAAGAAGAGGAATATCAAGAAGATTGGAAGAAATTTAAAGACTATTTGAATAAATATTGTAATATTAAAAATTAGAAGTCACTTGAAAGTACCAAACAGGCTTAGGATTAAATTAATAGTTAAATAAATGAGATTTAGAATGTTAAGAAAAGTTAAGAAATCTGATTATAATTGGAATATTGTTTTTGAATAATGATATTGGAAAACTGTTACATTCAGATACAAGGAAATTCAGATGGGAGGGACTAGAGGAAGTCAAATGATATGTTTATGAGATTGGAAGTTTTATTAATTAACTAATCTGTGTTGTTTATGTGTTTGCTGTTATATTTTCTGTTTTTATTCATTTTACTAGTTTTATTTGTTTTTTATTTTTGTACTTGTTTTACAGTATGTGCTATATTTGTATGAAACTTAATAAAAATTATTGGGGGAAAAGAAAAAAAAGAAAGGAAGAGCAAATCAGATGTGTGGTTTCTCTGCAGGTCTCTTAATGCAAACTGCCCCGAGCTTGACTCGATTCGTCACACTGTGGGCATCTCTTGAAGGTGGCTAGATTCAAACAGGACAGGACTCTGAAGTCCCAGCACATCCAAAGCAGAGGGTGAGGCAACGTGGCCTCTGTGGTCTAGCTACCTACCCGTCTGGGAGATGATGGCAAGGCGAGATGTGTACGTAGGAATGAACTTCAGAAACAGAGGGTCAATGTGGACCTGCAGAGGTGTGATGGCTCTCAGCATGCGCAGGTCATACACCTTGAGGAAGCGATCGCAGGCTAGGCCATTCATTCGGCTGGAGAAGCCACAGGTCACCAGCAGGTTGCCGTGGACATCAAAATCTGACAGACTACCGGAGTAGGCATCAAACTCATGCTCCACAGCAAAAGTGCGGAGATCACGCAAGGAAACCTAAGGAAGGAACAGAAGACACCCTACTATATTTGATTTAAAAGAAGCACCACGAGAGAACAATGGAATAGAATGGCGTCGAGTGAATTAACTGGGCATTTTTCTCTCTGTGTTCCTCTTGTAAAGTCAGAGACCTCCTTTGTACATCAATCAGGCGCTGCACATGGCACAAATACAGTGGTAGCTCGGGTTACATACGCTTCAGGTTACATACGCTTCAGGTTACACACTCCGCTAACCCAGAAATAGTGCTTCAGGTTAAGAACTTTGCTTCAGGATAAGAACAGAAATCGGGCTCTAGCGGCGCGGCGGCAGCAGGAGGCCCCATTAGCTAAAGTGGTGCTTCAGGTTAAGAACAGTTTCAGGTTAAGAACGGACCTCCGGAACGAATTAAGTACTTAACCCGAGGTACCACTGTACAGTCATACCTCGGGTCGAAGTAATGGAGCGCATTACTTCCGGGTTTTGCCGCTCGCGCATGCGCAGACGGTCGAAATGACATCACGCGCATGCGCGGGAGAGGCGAATCACGACCCACACATGCGGGTTGTGTTCCCTTCAGGATGCGAATGGGACTCTGGAACGGATCCCGTTCGCATCCAGAGGTACCACTGTAAGCCATAGTATGACCTGTCATGTTGTTTGAAGCCAGAATGTGGTTTGTCAACTGCAAAAACCAGTCAGTCCTACTTGGGGAATAAAAGCTGCTCCCCAAGTTCAAATATAACAATCAGACTCTGTGTGAAGTGTAACCCGTACAGATTCCTACTCATTTAAAAAAATGTTAAAAAATACTCCAAGCCGAAATTCACCCCGTCAAACCAACATATGTGGAAAGTTTGGCACTGGAATGTCTTGCTTCAATTTTAAAGGGAAAAAGAACTGATTTTCATAAGGCACAAGCTCTCACTGTGTTACTGGAGTGCCTGTTGCTCTTAAACATTTGGGGGGGGCAGTGATGATAAGATGCTCAGTGTTACCTTTCCTGATGTGTGGCCACAGAAGAAGAAACGGTTTGACTGTCTCATGATAGTGACCCCAGGCACTTCCACTGTGTACTAAAACAGAGATATAAAAAGTGGGATTAAGATCTGGACAGAGGCAAAGCAGACCACTATGAATATACAGATGCTACATGATTCAGGGGGAAAGGGTAGAACTGCCAAGTGGTGAATGGCTATTATTTCCCACGCAGCACCAAAGGAAGAAATAAGTTTGCTTAAAAAACAAAACAACCTGAATGACAATATAAGGAAAAATAAAAATAATTCAGTGGCAATGCCTTTGAATGGACATCTGTTTGCAAAAATAAAACATGGCATGCAGCCTTCTTCTATCATAAGATTAAGGATACAATATAAAAAATGAGGTCCAGCTCTAAGGGCCTTCTAGCAGTTCCCTCACAGTGAGCAGTGAAGCTACAGAGAACCAAGCAGAGGGCCTTCTTGGTAGTGGCCTGTGGAATGCTCTCTCATCAGATGTCAAAGAAATAAACAATTACACGACTTTCCGAAGACATCTGAAGGCAGTCCTGTATCGGGAAGTTTTTAATGTTTGATGTCCAACTGTGTTTTTATATCACGTTGGAAGTTGCCCAGAATTGCTGGGGCAACCCAATCAGATGGGTGAGGAATAAGTAACAAAATGTTATTATTATAGCACTACATACAAACAAGATCAATAAATGTGTCCGTATCTTTCTATCCATCTATTGATCCAGTACATCCAGATAAAACTATGGAAAGCTTCTACAATTTTTGTTACAGAAAAAAACTTACATTACTTTCATACACACTATTATGCTGAGAAGCGCCACTTTTAAAAAATGATATTATTAGGGAAACCTATAGATGTGTTGCAACATTTTTTTCCTGACGAATTAAAAAAATGGGAAAGTTAATATCTTTTCATGAGGTCAGAAACAGGAATGTTGACATTTCACTTTCTGTTTGAACTTTCAGACTTTTGGCTTCAACCCGTTACTTTTATGTTAAATCAAAATTCTGGTGACAAAAACATTATTATTATATCTCCAAAGCATCTCTTTAGGTTGGGAGACAAAAATATTTTGGACTGGCGATAACAGGAGCCAAGCCTACTTGGATACATCATCACAACAAGGAACAAGATCTCCTCCTGCTGTTCTGCTCCAGAGTTACAATTTGTTTAAGATTAAACCAGTCATTTTGTTATCCAGTGGAGATTCCTGTTCATCTTTGTGTAAGCTTAACATGACAAAACCTCAACATCTTTGGTTCTGGGTAATCAGAATCAATGCAACGCATTAGGGTCAGATATGTGAGAAGCGTGTGTTACCTTTTGAGTTTCTTGGACTGTATTGAGGTCTATCTCTATCACATGGCTGGTGAGCCCCCCAACAAGCAAGGTGCTGGGATCAGTCAGTAGTAGACTGTGCATGTCCTCACTCTCATCCATGCTAGAGGAGGAGAAAAAGGAACTGTGAGAACCAATGCTGACCTAGTATTTTCCATTCAGTCATTGCTACATGTGAGCTCACCAAGTAAATCAAAGTGACATCAGAATCTTGCATCATGAAACCTTTGGGGACCATTCCAGGAAAAAGGAGGTGGCTAAACTATATTGATGCAAATTTCCCATCTAGAAGTCCTCAAGCAATAAATTTTATAAAGGAAGCAGGAAATGCTACATTGAAGCACGTCCACATGCTTCATGAGGAGCAACAGGATATGACATCAAAGCCCTCTTCTCAAGCTTGCCCTGGAATATATCAAATAATTAAAGCCTGCAAATTGTGCACATCTCACACAGCTTCCCACACCAGATGTGTGACTGTAGGTACATGGATTTCATAATATTCCTAAGGCTATAACTGGCATTCTTCCAAGTAAACTCTACACAGAGACCAAAGACTGGGCAGGGCCCATTTCCAAAAATGCTCAAACCACCACACCCCCAGCAGAAGGCACTTACAGGTAATCAAAGATTATAAGTCCCCCTCTGGACATATATTTGAGGTTGTTTTTGGTCAGGAAGAGTACCCCATTCTCTAGACTCTGGATCTGTCGAATGTCATCACTACTATGCACCTGGAAGGAAGAGTAACGCTCCAGGGCTGGGCCGAAGAAAGAAGTGGCATGACCCTGAAAAAGAGGGAGGCAACTCAAGTCACCCTCACATCAGATTTGACCTGTAACATATCCTGCATGTAGCCAGCTCATTTTAATATTTATGAGACCTTCTGGCTCCTTCATCTACTTTCCCCCCCCAACCACAGTTTACCTTCTCCGCTGAACAAGCCATATTTCTGTTGAATATAACACTAAGAGTTACCACGGTTTTAAAGACATAGGTGGACAACTTGTGTCTTTCATGATAGTGCTGATCTCCTTGAGGATAGGATATACACTGAATTTAAAAAAAGAAAGTTAGAATCCTTGGCATTCTAAGCAGGAACCTACAAGAAAACAAGAATCTTATAGGTGTGTGTAGCCTTCCTCAATGGAGCTGAAATCAGCTTACAGGAGTTTCTAGAAGATCGTATCATTAATCCCAACCCTCCTCAATGTATGATCCAGCATACTGTATAACTCTTCTGATCATCACTGACATGTAATGAGAATCCCTTACCCCATGGTTCCCAACCCAGAGCATTTCTTCATGTAGGTCAAAGTGTGAGAAGGAGACAGGAACGCCCACTTCAGAGACAACGGTGTGGAGCTCCGAGTACATGCCCTCCATGATATGCACTGAGTCAGGCACAGGGATGCCCTCCAATGGCACCCCTTCTGGATCCAGCTCCACATTCTGTAGTAGGCTAGCATTGAGGTGCGGATCCAGAGCAGGGTGCAGGGCAGGTACATACTCTGCGAGGGCTGGGTCAAGACCTTCAAAATTCATGGCGGAGGTTTACCTGCAAGGCAGAGAAAGGAATTCAAGAAGACAGAATCTTTCACTACCTGTGCAGCGCAAGCATGCTAGAGAAGTTAACATAATGCCTGCTATAAACACAATCTCTAATACGGACCAAAGCATAGGACAGTAACTGACAGATTGCAGCTTTCAAGATAAACATAAATGGTAAAAGTAAAGGACCCCTGATGGTTAAGTCCAGTTGTGAACGACTCTGGGGTTGCGGCACTCATTTTGCTTTACTGGCCAAGGGAGCCGACGTTTGTCCGCAGACAGTTTTTCCAGGTCATGTGGCCAGCATGAATAAGCCACTTCTGGTGAAACCAGAGCAGCACATGGAAACGCCGTTTACCTTCCCGCCGGAGCGGCACCTATTTATCTACTTGCACTTTGACATGCTTTTGAGCTGCTAGGTGGGCAGGAGCTGGGACCAAACAACGGGAGCTCACCCCATCGCAGGGATTTGAACCACTGACCTTCCGATCGGCAAGCCCTAGGCTCAGTGGTTTAGACCAAGCGCCACATATTCCTCCATAAAAATTGCTCCAATACAGCAATTCCTAAACTAGTTGCTGTAACTGCTGCCCGAAACGTGCTGTGCTGTGAAAAATATATTAATTTATTGCATCAACTGGGAACCAAAATATAAAATAAATAAGAATAATAATAGAGTGGTTCCGGAGCCCCGTTCGCATCCTGAAGCAAACGTAACACGTGACTGCGCGTACGCGGGTCACGTTTTGCCGCTTCCGCGCATGCGCGTGACGTCATTTTGAGCATCTGCGCATGCGGCGAAACCCGGAAGTAATGCGCTCTGTTACTTCCGGGTCGCCGTGGAGCGCAACCGAAAATATTCATCCCGAAGCTACTTCAACCCGAGGTATGACTGTAAGAATAACTATTTATTATTTCTACCCCACCCATCTGGCTGGGTTTCCCCAGCCACTCTGGGTGGCTTCCAACAGAAGATTAAAAATACATTAAAACATCAGTCATTAAAAACTTTTCTAAACAGGGCTCCAGAGGAGGCTGCCTACTGCACCTCTGCATGACACTATTCTGGTCCTGCCTCCTTCCAAGCAGCCTTCACAGGAGGTGGGTAATCTTCTGTATCTCTGTAGTGAGCGCAATTAAATTGTTCAATCACTCTCAGTGCAGAAATGTGGGAGAATTACTAGTCCTCAGAGGCTGCCCACTGCATCTCTCCATGAGTGACCACTCTGAATTTACCTCAGAAAGCATGTTCTGAACAGTAACTCACACAAACATACTGGGTGAACTTCTCTGAAGATTGACAATGGTTACATTTTCATACTACAAAGATAAGACTGTGCATGTATAACACAGGAGTATGTATCCAGTTTTAGGTCAGGGAGAAGGCAAAATTCAACAATCAGAAATCTACCCTAAACTGCCACAAGGCAAAGAGAAATTGGACTAGTGGCACCTGTTTCTTTGTCGACAAAAACTCCAGTCAGATAGGAAGAAATGTGCTACTGGCACACTGCTGACACCCCTAGTTTGGCGGCCAACTTCTTTTTTAATAAACCTTGCTCCTGAACCTTCAAGCAGAAGCTTGGCTTGCCCTAATTAAACTGGCTAGGTGCTAATTCCTAACCTGGGGAGAAATGAATGGATAAATAATTCTGGAAATGACGATTTCAGGCTGCAAGTTAAAAGGCATGGCAGCAGGTTCATGTGAATAACTTGGCAACCCTACCCACAGGTTACCCCATGGTAAACCCAGCCAGATGGACGGGGTATAAATAAATAACTACCAAACCTTTAGAAGACATCTAAAGGCAGCCCTGTTTAGGGAAGCTTTTAATGTTTAATAGGTTATTGCATTTTAGTGTTGGAAGCCACCCAGAGTGGCTGGGGAATAAATAATATATTATTATTATTATTATTATTTTTTATTATTATTAATCATCCTCCTCCTCCTTGATGTACACTAAAACTTCAGCTGGAAGGTCAGCCCACACACATGGGTTGTACCCAAATCTAGCAAGAGTTGCGACAGTGGCCTCGCTACCACGTTTCGTTTCCGGCAGCGCTGTTGTTTTTGTTGAAACAGAAAGGCAGCGAGGTGCAATGATGCAACTCCTCTGTGGTTACACAGAAGCAGCGCTTGCAGCCTGCAGTGCAAGGGAAGGCGAAAGCCGGAGCTGCCCCCATCCTCGCTTCCAACCAGAGAACCATAGCAGAGGTCCAAAGTTTAAAGTGCACCCCCAAGACAGGCTTGGAAAAAGTGGGAGGGGGTCAAAGCCCCAAGGGCCTGGCGGTTACCCATAACCCTTTACGTCACAGGAGCCAACCACCCAGAATCCACTGCGGGAGGAAGGGAAGTGAGACAATGGTAAATTACCCAGACTCTCCTAACCCATAACTTGGGGGTTGGGGGACGAATTAGTCACACTTCTCTGCTTCTGAATAACCCCAACTCTCCCCCCAGCCCAGCCCATGCAAATCAGCCCAAGCTTATTTTATGGGTTACCCACAATCCTTTGCTCTTCCGGGTCCCCTTCCCTCCGCCGCTGCCTTTTCCCCACCGCCCTCTTCGCCGCCGCTATGGCAACGCCAGCCCTTCTCATTTCTCTCCCCCCCCCTCCCGCTTCGGCTTCACCCGCGGCGCTTCAAGCAGGGGAGGGGTGTGTGCCCGCGTGCCCTCGACCAATGGCGAGGCTGCCTTGGGGAGGGAGCACCCAATCAGAGCGAAGTGGCGACGGCCGCGCCTCCCTCGTTATTTACATGCATGACGCTGCGTGCGCGCGCGCGCGCTGGAGGGATGGCGCTGCGGAAGGGACAAAAAGAGGGAGTTTTTTCTTTTTTAACGGGTGTGAGTCAGTGAATTAAAGGGAAAAGGTTAGCTGTACCTGTGAACTCCGTGCCCCTCAGTTTTTGCGTGGGGTGCATTTGGTGGGAGTTGTACCTTTTTGTTTACTCCTGTTAGTCATGAGTAAGGAAAAGCCAGGCTAGTTTATTTTGCCTGGCATGCAATGTCATATAGTATAAGCATGGCATGCAATGTCGTATAGTAAAAGCTATGGTTTTCCCAGTAGTGATGTATGGAAGTGAAAGCTGGACCATAAAGAAGGCTGTTCGCTGAAGAATTGATGCTTTTGAATTATGGTGCTGGAGGAGACTCTTCAGAGTCCCATGGACTGCAAGAAGAGCAAACCTCTCCATTCTGAAGGAAATCAGCCCTGAGTGCTCACAGGAAGGACAGATCCTGAAGCTGAGACTCCAATACTTTGGCCACCTCGTGAGAAGAGAAGACTCCCTGGAAAAGACCCTGGTGTTGGGAAAGATGGAGAGCACAAGGAGAAAGGGACGACAGAGGACAAGATGGTTGGATAGTGTTATCAAAGCTACCAGCATGAGTTTGACCAAACTGCGGGAGGCAGTGGAAGACAGAAGTGCCTGGCGTGTTCTGGTCCATGGGGTCACGAAGAGTCGGACACGACTAAACGACTAAACAACAACAACAACAACAACAACAAGGAAAAGCCAGGCTAGTTTATTTTCCCTGGCATGCAATGTCAGGGGGAGGAGAAGCGTGTTACTCCACCTGACTGGGATTTTGCTTGCCTGCAGCCATGCTACTTCATCCTATTTTTTAAAAAAAAGTTCAAAAAGGAATTTAATCTCAGAAATAAATCAAACAGCTGTACTTTCCTGTCACAATGAATCAGTGCCTTGCCCAGCGTGCAAACCATGCAGCTTCCTTTTGCGCAATGCTGCGAGAAACGGCAGCAACTTTCCGTGATCCAGTTGGTTTGGCTAGTTGCCCATATTAGGAGGGGCTGGAGACTGGCAGCGTGAGAAGAACCCTGGGGCATCAGGTCAAATGCTCATCTGTTCATCGCCGCCGACACCACCATCCTCCTCCTGCTCACAGTGGCCAACTCAATCGCTATGGGAAGAGCAGAGACAGGAAAGGGCCCTCTGCTGTTGTTGGACCCGTATGCCTCCTTCCAGCAACTCCTGCAGCCCAGCTGGTGCCCAATGTGTTGCTCTGCTTTCCTCTGGAACGCATCAGCAAGGCCGGGGTGGGGGGAGGTCTTGTTGTCTGGGAGGCCCAGGACCTTCATACTGTGATAGGAATTTTGAGGTCTTAGATATATGTTAAATGTTCACAAGTGTACCAACCAAGCACATACATAGATCAGCACAGGAAGACCGACCTGGAACCATTTTGATTCCCAAACTGTCCCAAACTGACCAAATGTTTTCTCTGCAAGGTCAAAGGAAAATGGAAAAGCCTCCCCATTGTCTTTTCCTTCACAAATCCTGTCTTAAGGGTATGTCTGTGTTTGAATTCTGTTCTGGTCAGACCTCACCTGGAGTACTGTGTCCAGTTCTGGGCACCACAGTTCAAGAAGGACACTGACAAACTGGAACGTGTCCAGAGGAGGGCAACCAAAATGTTCAAAGGCCTGGAAACGATGCCTTATGAGGAACGGCTAAGAGAGCTGGGCATGTTTAGCCTGGAGAAGAGGAGGTTAAGGGGTGATATGATAGCCATGTTCAAATATATAAAAGGATGTCACAGAGGAGGGAGAAAGGTTGTTTTCTGCTGCTCCAGAGAAGCGGTCACGGAGCAATGGATCCAAACTACAAGAAAGAAGATTCCACCTAAACATTAGGAAGAACTTCCTGACAGTAAGAGCTGTTCGACAGTGGAATTTGCTGCCAAGGAGTGTGGTGGAGTCTCCTTCTTTGGAAGTCTTTAAGCAGAGGCTTGACAACCATATGTCAGGAGTGCTCTGATGGTGTTTCCTGCTTGGCAGGGGATTGGACTCGATGGCCCTTGTGGTCTCTTCCAACTCTATGATTCTATGAATAGGGCGTGAGCCCAGGAACTAAATATTTATCATTACAAAAGACTGGCCAAGCTACCCAGGCAATCCAATCAAGTAACCTGCCAGACAGGAGAAAAACAACATTCAAATTTCTGTTTTAAGACCGCCTTTTCTGTGATGTAGGTATGATGTATCTGAGGGGTGGTCTTAGGTTACACCCCATCTGTGATGTATGTATGATGTTTCTGGGGGTGGTCTTGATCTACAGGGTGGGAATTTCAAAAGTCTTTATAAGGCCTTGCGCGCCATTTTTCGGGTGAGGGGAGCACCCTGTTGCAACAGTTCAATAAAGATCAAGCTTTACTAGCTGCTTTGCTTCTCAGTATTCTCTGGTTGGCCTCTGTTATTCTCTCCTACCAATAGGGAACCTATGTAAGGACTCTATATAGGCTCTTGGATACCCCATAAGGGAAAAGGGCAGTTTTTGTTTACAACAATACCCACTGCCCAGGCTTGCTCCCTGGTGAAGTCACTTTGGTGCTATTCACGCAGTAGTTAGACTTCACCCCCAGAGGGGCACTCCGTTGTGTCTCGAGACATGCCGACAAAAACATTGCCACTCCCATCATCCTTGACCATTGGCTACGGATGATGGGTGGTGACCCAAATTTGAAAAAACTGCACCTGGTGCAGAAGCGGGCTTTGGTCTTTCAAATTTCAGTGGCGCCCTGTGCAAGGCCAAAATTCAGCATGCTTTAAATGTATGGGGTTGTAGCCTATTGTGTTCTACTCAAGAGTCGCCCCATTGAAATTAATGGACCTAAGGTAAGGGTAAAGGTTAGGTCCAGTCGCGGACAACTGGGGTTGCGGCGCTCACTTCAGTCAGTCTGCTTGGAGTAAAACTGTGACGCATAGTGTGGGTGTGACCTGAACTTCCTTGTGAATGATCAGACAAAAAAAAAGGCTCGCTTCACCTGAAGAGAAAAGTACTGAATGTACTTCAGCACGAGCAATTACAAACTGTTCCCTGTAAGTGCCTTTAGGTCCACATTCTCCACTTTCCCAGTAAACCTGGGGTTAAGGGTGCATGTGCCAAGATTACAAACTGGGTTAGTAGTCCTGTATGGCAGCATTGCAAAAGCCTAGTGCCAGTGGTGATTAAGAATTGCCTCCAGATGGCTATGAAGAGAAGCTTTCAATGGGAATAGATAAGAGGACTATTTCAGATTTTGGTGGTGAGAGGAAGCGATTATAGTGTGGTACGAGATCTGGCAACATCCAGTTTCCACTCTCAGATACATTCAGAGAGGAGCAGTGTATTTTTCAGGGCTTTAATTTTATTGCTGTTCAGTATATTCTACAATATGTACTGTTTGGACTTCTCCACACTTTTTGCCCTGCACTTTTTAGGCACAGGTCCATACCCTCCAACCTTTCTCTGATGAAAATAGGGACGTTCTAAGGAAAAGCAGGACATTCCGGGATCGTATCAGAAACCGGGACAGCTTCTGTAAATCCAGGACTGTCCCTGAAAAATAGGGATACTTAGAGGGTCTGCTCTCAGGTACGTTTAGAGAAATAGCAATGTATTTTTCAGATATTTTATTTCATTATGGTTTTGTATGTTCCGTAATACGTATGCATGATATGCACTTTCTAGGCATTTCAGAAAGTGCTTTCCTGGTCCATGTCTGAGCACTTCCTCCACCTCCTGCTTTCCTCAGGAAAACCCGATCTTTATCTCTGAATTGGTGCAAACAGCAATCCGGGTTTTCCGCAGATGGTCATTTTCTCCGATTCAGCGGTAAAGAGTGGGTTTTTTACAGGGAAAATAGAGGAGGTAGAGGGTGGGGAAGCGCTCGGACTAACCAGGGAAACACAGACCTGTGCCTAGAAACATGGATTGGAGGTAACGGTGGATGAACCCTATGTACGTATTAGCAACAGGATAGTCACACATACACAGTGGATACACAGAGGTGTGAGACTTTCCCTTTTCCTTTTTTCCAATGAAAGCCTTTGTCATATTTTATGTGGAATAGAGGCCCATTCAATATGAAGTGTAGTCACTCGACGCATGGAATCCAGCGAGCTAGCTGGAAAAGTAGGCGTGTCCCGGGAAGAATGGCAGATGAAGTTGATGGACTACATGGAACTGGCGGAAATGACTGGCAGAATCCGAGACCAGGGAGAAGAGTCGGTGGAAGAAGATTGGAAAAAGTTTAAAGACTATCTACAGAAATATTGTAAAATTAATGAATGTTAGAAAAATGTTGAAATGAAGTTATATGGCTTTAGTAGAAATATTATAAGGAATTAAGTACAGATAGGTTAATAGAGTATTAAAGAAAAAAATAAGGTTAGAATGAGTTAAGATAATTATAGGATAGAAAACAGAGGAAGATGGAAAGGAATTGCTGAAATAATTAACAGAAGTGGAATACAAAAAGGGAGGTGTGAGGAGGTCGTGGAAATAAGTGAATGAAAGATGAGATAATGAAATTGTTTGATTTATTTTATTGTCTTTGTCTTGTTTTGTTAATTTGATGTGTTGTATTGTATTGTTTTTCTTTTTCTTTTTTCTTCTTTTTTTAGTGTTTTTGGAAAAATAATAAATATTATTTTTTTAAAAAAAGGAAAAGTAGGCGTGTCCTCACACACTCAGAGGGAAGTTCCCCTCCAGCTCATCAAATATGACTTAAGACAAGCTAAGAACAGGGTTTTTGGATTTCCCACTCCTATCTAGCCACAAATGACTGATATGGTAATTTATCAAGGATGTGTGGTCAGGATGGCTACTAGTAACCTTTGTTTACTAATATCCCTAGTGGTGTAGGGACGTAGGAAGGGGGGCGGTGGGGGCGGTCCGCCCCAGTTGTCATCCCTAAGGGGATGGGTGACAAAATTCCCCTGGGCGAATCGCCACCACGCCGATCACCCCCAGGCAGATTGACCTGCTCCCATGGGGGGGGGGCGAGCCTCCGGGGCAGATCGACCCGCCCCTGGGTGCACAACATGTTCGCCACTCCTGGTGCCCGAGTGGCTGCGATAGCCTGTGTTAGCAATCAAAACAGACTTTTGTGGCCCCTTTAAAGATGCGCCCACACAAAGGTGTTCAGTGCCTCTGTGGGTTGCACAAACCTGACTTTATCATGTGTGCTTTTGTGCCCTTTTGTCCATACATGAATGATTTTGGCTTTGTGCCTCCAAGTTCCCCCACCCCTTTCTCCCCAATTTATCTTGGTGTTTTCAATGATATTCTGAAATCAGAATCAATAACTCAAAGGCTGTTAAGGGGCAAGTGGCCTGCAGGCAGTACTTGAAATTAGCTGGGCATGTTTTGCGATTGGTGTGAGTCCAACTTCAACCACATGGAAATCTCTAGGTGCTAGGTTGGCGACTGGGGAAAGGAAATTGTCACTAAGAGAAGGATCTGAAATATTTTCCTTGAAGCCAGAATTAGGTTTATCCTGGATTGTTTTATTTGATGCTTTAATGTGTTGTAAACAGCTTTGAGATTTGTTCTTTAAAATATTAAGTGGTATAAAGGTAAAGGGACCCCTGACCATTAGGTCCAGTCGTGACCGACTCTAGGGTTGCCGGCGTTTGTCCACAGACAGCTTCCGGGTCATGTGGCCAGCATGACTAAGCCGCTTCTGGCGAACCAGAGCAGCACACGGAAACACCGTTTACCATTCCCTCTGGAGAGGTACCTATTTATCTACTTGCCATTTGTGCTTTCGAACTGCTAGGTTGGCAGGAGCTGGGACCGAACAACGGGAGCTCACCCCGTTGCGGGGATTTGAACCGCTGACCTTCTGATCGGCCTGTCCTAGGCTCTGTGGTTTAACCCACAGCGCCACCCACGTCCCTATTAAGTGGTACAGAAGTGGAAATAATTAATAATAATAATAATAATAGACATTCCCTTGTGGTGATCACAGCCCAAGTTTAAGATGCCATCTGGCAATTAGATCATATATCTGAGTTTGCAACTGCCTGAAGGTAAAGAAAAGGAGGACTCAGGAGATGAACTGCCAATCCTGAAACTACCCCAAAGCATGCTCCCCTAGCCCAAACCTCAGTTTTGGCACAAACAACTGTTTCAGTAATAAAAATATATATTTGTGGCACACAACAGAGAAGCTCAGCCTGATGGCTATACCCTCACTGGCAGCAAAGCACCCTGCCACAGAGAGAACTAGCAGCCCACTGAGGCACACCTCACCACAGGGCAAAGCATGGCCAGGCAGGAGGAGACATCTCTGATCCAGCCTCTACATAGAAAACCACAGAGCACCTTGGAAATAGTTGTAAATAGGACCATCTGGGCAAAATGTATGGACATTACGTTTCACACACAAGCACACATAGCCATGGCAGAACAGGAAGAACAAGCTATTGGGGCAGGGGAGCGATTTAAAGGGTGAGAAGGTGGATTTTCCCCTTGATTAATAGAAGGGGGAAATAAAATAGCCAAAGTGTGGATACATTCAGATATTTGCAGCGTAAACAGGGTAAACAGCCTTTGGGTATGTAATGCAGTATCTATAAATGTTACAGTAACCTGTTTAAATGGAATCTCCCTCAGACGTAGCAATACTACTGGCAGAATTCTGATCATATGGTTGCTCTCACTTTGTTTGGACGTATTATACAAGCTTCCACAGGACCAGAAACAATCACAGAAAGTTCAAAAGGAGGAGGAAGTTGTAGTGTAAAATTACTAGAGCACCAAAAAATGGTTTAGTGGAGAACAGAGACAAATGAATGAATCTTGGTGATGGTGTAAGAAAATAAATGGCAGGATATGGCAACTTCTTTGATCACCAGTCTGACACCTTGCAGAAATCTTAAATTTCTGGGCTAGGAATAAGATAGGGATTGTTGCTGCACTGGAAACTCCAGATAATTAGATCACACAAGGACCCCAACTTGACTGAGAGAATACTCTGTCTAGGAGTTGGCACAATGATTAATCTGGCCCTGCAGGATCGATGCCTGATGCGCTCCATCAGGAAAATTTTGGGTGTCATGTGGCAGGACAGAGTTTCAAACGATTGTGTTCTCCTAATTCCCAGCATGTTTGCGTTCCTGTCTCAACAATGTCTACGCTGGCTTGGTCATGTCCACAAAATGGAAAGTGGCAGAATCCCCAAGGAGCTGGCTTCAGGCACCAGGCTCCTTGGCAAACTAACTGCATTACAAAGACATTGCCAGCCTTCATGTCACGTTTGCAAACATCCACTCTGCCATGTGGGTATCCCTTCCAGATGACCAGTGCTTGGAGACAGTCAGGTCCATAGCTGTCAAGTGTCCCTTATTTGAAGGGACAGTCCCTTATTCCAGCGCCATGTCCCGCTGCTGTCCCTTATTGATAGATGTCCCTTAAATGTCCCTTAAAGAATGTCCCTTAAATTTCAAAGGAAGCAGCTCTTCTCCCTCCCTCCCTGCCGGCCAGGGAGGAGGGAGGCTCCAACTGTGTTGCTTGGCTATGTTGCTCACCCAATAAGAAGTCTAAGAACGACTGGGGGGTGGAGCTTGCATGCCTTGTGTGCGGCTAGTTAATTCAAGCTGAGGGGTTTTTGAATGCTGGACGCCATTTTGTTGCACGTGCTGCTGCAAACTTTGCAGTGCAAAGCCAGGCCGGGGAGCCGTCTTAAGTTGAGGCTGCATAGGCCTTGTGGTGCATGTGATTCAGATTCTATTCAGTTGAACCTCTGGTTACAAAGTTGGTTGGACAGTGTTCCTGAAGCTACCAGCATGAGTTTGACCAGACTGCAGGAGGACAGGAAGACTGGAGTGCCTGGAACAGGTGAGGCTGCAGGTCCCTTGTTTTGGCTGCTGGTCCCTTATTTTCAAGGCTGCTGGTCCCTTATTTTCAAATCTGTAAGTTGACAGCTATGGTCAGGTCATGTATCCATAGCAGTGACCAAAGGAGGAATGACAGCAGGGAGGAGTACAGAGGGAGGTACAGCAGCACAATCAGATTCCTTCATCCACCCCAGCTGCAACAAAACATGTCTCGCCTGCATTGGTCTCTACAGCCACAGCAGGCGCTGCAACCTTCCAACGGTTTGACATCACTCCCAAAGGCACACTCCTCCACATAGCTGTCAACCATCCCTTATTTGGTGGGAAACTCCCTTATCCCAGCGCCGTGTCCTGCTACTGTCCCTTACTGATGATGTCCCTTAAATTTCCCGGGATTCATGCTCTCCCGGCTCAGGAGGGAAGCAGTAGCCCGGGGTCCTCCACCTCCAGAGTGTGCACATGAGCTGCCGCATCTCCGTCTCTCCCTTTTCCCCCTCAGGGGCATGTCGTGAGGAGACGGGTGGCAGCGGGTGGGCAGGCAGCCCCTCTCCTGCGAGACTTCTGCAGCGCTGCCAGAGGAAGCCGGAGGTGGCAGCAGCAGCTGAGGAGGCGGCCTGAGGGAGGAGGAAGAGGAGGGGATGGGGAGGGACGCAGAAGGGCGGCGCTTCAGCGGCCGCGGCAGCGCTGCAACCGCCTTATGCCGGTCTCACGGGCGGCGTGGGTGAGAGTCTCTCTCCCTCCCTCCCTCTCTCTTGGGTGGGGAAGGACCGATGGAACTCCTCGCGCCAGGATGATGGCGGCCCCGACGTGCTGCTTAGCATACCCTCCAACCAGTGCAGCATCTTAATGTAGTGATTTCCCCCTCTGCATCCCTTTCATAACTCTTTCATAACTGCAAAAGCAGCATGGCTCCATCAGTGCCGGATTTATGTATAAGCTAAGCAAAATCCCTTATTTTGGCTGCTGATCCCTTATTTTCGAGGTTGCTGGTCCCTTATTTTCAAATCTGTAAGTTGACAGCTATGCTCCTCCATCGTCTTCCAAGACAGACGGACACCAACCAACATCGATGAACCTTAAAGGACAGTGCTTTTGCTCTATTTTTAAATTGTGAATCTGTTTGCCATCCTGGGCTCCTTTGCAAGGAAGGGTGGGAAAGGAATTTAACAACAACAACGCAGCCTCTTTACAAGAAAGCCAAAGGCAGGATAATTTAAAAATATACCAATGAATGTGGCTGCATGCACTATAAAGCAGCAATGAAGTAGCAACTTTTCATTCAAGAAAAAAAAAATAAAGCAATTCAGAAGTGAACTTGTGGTTCCCCTCTTGGTTGCATTCAAAAATTAAACAAACACACCTGCAGGCTAGTTGCGACTATGGAAACTCCAGATGTGTCCATCATGCATGTCTTAGTGGAACAGATGCACCACACATCTGAATACATGCCTGTTTTAAAAGATCTGTGCTGGCTTTCTGTGTTTCCCAGCACAATTTCAAGGTAATGAGATTTCTCCCCCATCCCTCCTCTTCTCCCACAAAGCCACAGCAAGCAGCTTCTTCCTCCTCAAACCTCCTCCCCCTCTGCATTCCATTGATAAAAAGCAAAACTGCAGACACAGGGAAGTTGTTGTAGTACCAACCTCAGCTACCGCATTTTATGAAGATTCCTGGAACTGATGTGTCCAGCTACCCAAGGAATGGCACACAGGGAATGGGACGCAAACAAGGACACGTAGAAGATCCTCAAAGTGACTGACAATTAACAACAACAACAACAACAACCAGACTTAGTATTTTGTGGCATAGAGCAACTTTCCCCAACCTGCTGCCCTCTAGATGCCTTGGATTAGAACTCCCTTCAATCTCAGAACTATGTAGTCCAAAACACCCAGAGGGCACCAGGTTGGCAAACATTGGCATAGAAAATAACAATGTCTATCGCAGCATCCAAGTGTGCCAGCATGTATCTGGGTATACGGAATCAAAGTATCCTCACACAGTGTTGGGCATCTTCCCAAGAAATGTAAGGAATAAAAGAGAAAGCAAAAGGAGGAACACATACATCCATAAAGTCTGACCATCCCCTGTTTCCTTGGCCAGTGAGAAATCTGAGGGGCAGCGTGTGATGGAAAAGTTGGTTCCACAAGTGTTTCTTTTTACTTTTTTATCCTGCCGGCAAATGGTTAAAGAATGGCAGCTTCTGATTGGATGTGGTTCCAGGAGGGAGAGTTTACATTACAAACTTTTTCAGCAGGGGGCCGGTCTACTGTCCCTCAGACCTTTTGGGGGGCCGGACTATATTTTGAAAAAAATAAATGAACGAATTCCTATGCCCCACAAATAACCCAGAGATGTATTTTAAATAAAAGCACACATTTTACTCCTGTAAAAACACCAGACAGGCCCCACAAACAACCCAGAGATGCATTTTAAATGAAAGGGCTTCTTCTACTCATGTAAAAACACGCTGATTCCCGGACCGTCCGTGGGCCGGATTTAGAAGGCGATTGGGCCGGATCCGGCCCCGGGGCCTTAGTTTACCTACCCATGGCTTAAAAGGAGAGGCTTTGGAGGGAGAGAGGGTGGTTGAGGAGGGAGGTTGGAGAGGTTGGGAGTTAGGTAGGGAGACAGGATAGGAGTCAGGTTGAAATATAAAGAAATATAAAGAGTGTTAAGGAGGGAGAGTTGGTTCTGGAGAAAACATCCATTCCGAGTGTACAGTGAAGGACTGCGTGTAGTGTCCTGCAGGAGTAATAGGACTGGATCTTGCTGGGAGACTGAGGGTGAGACAGGAAAAGTAGGAGCTGAAAAAGATCAGTCTACTTAGTCTCAAACCAGTCTGGAGGGGAGAGACTTCAGAGGAAAGTGAAGGGGTACAGTTAGGGTTACCCCAGAAAGCCCTAAAAAACTGTTTGTGAATTCCCCCCCCCCCCAGCCAGGCCTCGGAGTACGCATTTTAAAAACTGCATTTTCCTCTAAGACAAAAAGCATGAGCTAAGCAGTCCTCTCTGTAACAAAAACGCTGTAACAAACCCAGAGCTGAGAACAGTAAAGCTTTTCGCTTCCCAGATCCAAGATAACCTTGTCCTGGTACATTGATTTGCAACATACTTCCGGGAACAGAGCCAGAGAACGAAAAGCAACATTTCTGTGTAAGAATCTGTGAAGGGGGAGGGGAAAAAAGGGGTTTGAAAAAAGGATAAAACCTGCTTGTAAAATGTTTTCCACGCGGCCTGTCTTTTGTGAACTGAATCACACAGGTGCCTCTGCCCCCCCCCCCCATGGCAGAATAAAATGCTCTTTCTCTGGATTAACCCCTTGGTGTCGTTTGGCTCCTTTTGTCTCTGCTCGGGTGCAACAATTATTCCTACCCATGGATTAAAAAGGCTACAAAAGAGACTCCCAAAATATAGTGAAGGAAGGGGTGTGTGTAGTGGGCCCTTAAGATTATTACTGAAATTACTTCAGGAGCTGGATTTGTTAAAGGGGTGGGTAACTGAAGGAAAGTACCACCTTGGAAAGGAACCAAAGTATAAAGCCGAAACCTCTGAAAATGGCTTGAAGTCAACTAGCGTATTATTATTGAAGTAACCTAAGTCTCTCCACTTGTATTATACAGGGTGAGTCTTTTAAAAGAGGCCCCGTGGAGCATGTGTACTCTGTGGCCTCTTTTAAAGGACTCACCCTGTACTACCTCGTTTTAAAAATAAATCTTTATTGCTTATTTAAAGGACACCTGCTTGAGACTCCAACTTATTGGTTATCCCCCTCACAAAAGTCCCCCACAGGATACTCTGGGATAGTTAGGTTTAGTTTTTAAGCCTTCAGGTAAAAGGTTGTTCAGTGAGGTGGGGGTAATACATTTAAGTGAGAGCAGGCACATCTGCGTGAGCAGTAACTGAGGGGCCGAGCCCGTCGCATATTAATTTGTGGCAGCGCGGTGATGTGAAGTTAAAACCCACACAGTAACGTACCCAGAGACACAGAACAACCAGTTTAATAAAGTAGTGAAGTTATTTTATTAAAAGGAGAAAAATTTCCTGTCAGAAAATGACCAGCAAGTGCCAAGAGAAAGAGACTCGGGATGACCAAGGGCAGGGAGCTGCTGTATCTGAGGAGAATCCTAGTACAGTGGTACCTCGGGTTACATACACTTCAGGTTACATACGCTTCAGGTTACATACACTTCAGGTTACAGACTCCGCTAACCCAGAAATAGTGCTTCAGGTTAAGAACTTTGCTTCAGGATGAGAACAAAAATCGTGCAGCGGCAGTGCAGCGGCAGCAGGAGGCCCCACTAGCTAAAGTGATGCTTCAGGTTAAGAACAGTTTCAGGTTAAGAACGGACCTCTGGAACGAATTAAGTATTTAACCCGAGGTACCACTGTACTGAATTAGAGATGATGAAACTAAGATTGTGTTATGTATTGGGTTTAACACATTTTATGTTACAAGGCGCATTCTAACCAATCATAGAAGCTTGTTAGATGAACGTTCTAATGGCAAGTAAGCGCATGCACTTCAACTGTCAACTGTCAACGGTCAGTTCATGCTCAGAATTATTAGTGTGTTGTCCAGTCAGTTTGGTTCTTGCGTTCCTATGAGTGAGCTGTTGTCACTGACAAATGTTGAATAAACATAGTTGAGGAACTTATACTGCCTTTGGGCTTCTGACTTTTTCCGAACATTTAACTTTGGCGACGAAGGTGGGATTGATGAGCTCCCACCGGCTGCCAGAGGCCCAAGACTGCACCGCAGTACCGCCGCCTGCCGCCTCGCAGTAAGCGCGACCTCACCGCCATGCTGAACTCAGCAAATAGTCCCGGAAACAAGACTGCGCCTGCCGCGTCTTCACAACCACCCACAATCGCACAAGCGACTACTCCAGATCCAAGGATGGCTACCACTCATAGTCGGCCTCCACCGGACTTCGATATGAGCCATCCTGCAGAATGGCCGCAGTGGCTCCGCCGAATAAGGAGCTACGTCCAGCTGCAAGGCTTCACTAGGGAGGCAGACAAGGTGGATGTGCTACTGACAGTGCTGGGAAGTTCCGCCTTCACTCTACTGGAAATCTTATGGCACCTAGGACATAGAGTCATGCACTTTCGATGAGATACCTCGTGCCTCAGCCAACTAAGAACCACTGCCACTATTGAAGGAGGTGAGGACAGGTGACCCCACCTAGGCCCGAAGTCACCCTAGGCCTCAAAACCAAATTTCCCCTTTCTCTCTTCTAAAAATCCACAGCTTCAGCTTTTCTCTGCTCTTCTCTGCTTTCTCACAAGATGCTGCTGCATAGGCAAAATGTTATTTTTATCAGTACGAGAGAGCTTCAAAAAGCTAATGAATAGACTATATCAATGCCAAGAATAAGCAGGCCTGGGAACTGACTCTTATCTCATTCAGTTGCAACACATCTTGGACACGCTGAAACGCAAGGCTCCTCAACCCCCTTGGCTTCTCATCCCCCTTTCCAGGGAAGGGTTCCAAGAGTCCCAAAGACAGGAGCTTTCTGTTCATGCTCAGGAAACTCATCATGGGGCAGGGCTCCTGAGGAGGGGGAAAGGGGGGAGGGAACTGGAGGGGAATATATGCTCTGTGCAAATGGCTGTGAACTTGTGCTTGTTTGTGAAATTATCACACTAGCTCCTTCTACCAAGCTCGGATGGTAGAAATAAAGCTCTTTCTCTGAAATTATCCCTTGAGTGTCTGTTTGACTCCCATTTCCCTCTCCCCGGGTGCAATGCTCTTCCCACCCGAGGGCAAAGCCTGAAAAGGCTACACTATGACTTTGCGCACAGAGAGCAACAAGTGCAAGAGTCAGCGAGTGAATACATCACAGAGCTCCGGGCGATTGCGTATTGTCAATTCGCTGACATCGAGGAACGACTTCTTGAAAGGATCATCAGTGGAGTGCGAGACAGCCATCTCCGCCACAAGCTGCTGGCAAAAGACGACATCATGATGATGGAAGCAGTGAATATAGCCACGGCCTTTGAGAAGGATAACGCCCACGAGGCGGCCCACAGCCCACATACCAAAAGGAGAACTCATTGTATCCAGCGAGACCGGTTGTATTCCGTAGATTCCCACAATGAGTATGTCCACCAAGCTTTGGATCGATCCGACCAACATGACCGCTCCCAAGCTACGAGTGCATCGTAGAACCAGCGGTCATCTGATGCACCTCGAGGGACCTACGCCAGCTGCGGAGAAAACCACAAGCGTCGGACATGCAGGTTTGGGACGCCACATGTCACCGCTGTGGGAAGACTGGGCACATTGGTCGAGTCTGCTGCTCCAAGACTTCCGGAGCATGACCCAAGCAATGTGTCCACAAGGCCTACATAGAGGAGGAGTTACAGTCCATTTCTCCAGCCAGGGTACTTCAACTTCCATCCCCGGGGTCCAATAAGCTTAGGATACAACTCAAGATAGAGGGAACCCCGTGCACTATGGAGTTGGATACCAGCTCATCCTACTCCATAATATATGTGGTGCGGGGGGCTCCAAGAGGGTTCTCCCTGGGGTACACTGTGTACATCCGTAACTATGGGCCCGGACAGGGTTGGGTCCCTGGTATCATTGCCCATTGTACAATTCTGGTTTCCTACAAGGTAGGGTTGGAGGGGGGATTGGTTTGGAAGACACCTCGACCAGATCAGAGCCAGGGCACCTCCGAACAAGGAACTTCAAGAGAACCAGAAGACAGAGAAATGGGTACTTCGGGAGATTCTGTGCCTAGGCCAGGGTGGGAACCAGACGGGTTGCGGGTGACTGAGTTACCCCAGCAGGGCGACTTCAGGCCAGAATCCTCAGTGGCTCCATCAGCAGTGACCCCTTTGGAGCCGGCCTCACTGACCGCCCCACTCAGACTGCGGGTACCGGAGGAACCTCCTGGGTCACCCACTCGGGCACAAGAACCGCGACGGTCCCAGTGGGTGCGGAAAAGGCCGGCACACCTTGATGACTATGTTTGTTCCTTTTGTTAGGAAGTTGGGGGAGAGGAGTGTTATGTATTGTGTTTAACACATTTTATGTTACAAGGCGCGTTGGTAGATGAACGTTCTAATGGCAAGTAAGCGCATGCACTTCAACTGTCAACGGTCAGTTCATGCTCAGAATTATTAGTGTGTTGTCCAGTCAGTTTGGTTCTTGTGTTCCTATGAGTGAGCTGTTGTCACTGACAAATGCTGAATAAACTTAGTTGAGGAACTTATACTGCCTTGGGCTTCTGACTTATTCCGAACATTTAATAGATTGGAATTGGCTGAGGTTGAAACAGAGAAAGAAAAACAAAGTTGAAGCATCAAGGGCGGTTCACAGATAAAAATACAAGATAAAAACAAAAGTAAATAATTAAAACCCAAGCAACAAAACAGTAACACACACACCCTTTACATTTCAAAGGCTGTAGGATATTAATCAGCCAAAGGCCTGGTTGAAGAGAATGTTTTCACCTGGCGCCTAAAAATATATAATGAAGGCACCAGACGAACCTCCCTGGGGAGAGCATTCCACAAACAGGGAGCCACGACAAAAAAGACCCTGTTCTCGTGTTGCCACCCTCCGGACCTCTCAAGGAGGAGGCACACGAAGAAGGCCCCCAGATGAGGAACACAGTCTCGAACTGTTTACATGGGGAGAGGCTGGTCCATGAGGCTCTTTTGTCATCAGGAATGCATCACTGGTGTGAGGGTGTGTGGGCAGTTTCCCTATTTTCCAGGGACAGTCCCGGATTTACAGACACTGTCCCAATTTCTGATTTGATCCTGGAATGTCCCGCTTTTCCTCAGTACATCCCTATTTTCATCCAAGAAATGTTGGAGGGTATGGTAAGACGTCCCTATCTTCATTGGAGAAATGTTGGAGGGTATGGAGTTATGTGACCCCCTGAGCCAAGGAGATAAGTAACTACAAAAACTTTAGAAGATATCTGAAGACAGCCCTGTATAGGGAACTTTATATAACAATGATTTTAAAAGTTCCCTATACAGAGCTGCCTTCAGATATCTTCTAAAGCAGGCATAGGCAAACTCCAGCCCTCCAGATGTTTGGGACTACAATTCCCATCATCCCTGACCACTGGTCCTGTTAGCTAGGGGTGATGGGAATTGTTGTCCCAAAAATCTGGAGGGCCAGAGTTTGCCTATGCCTGTTCTAAAGTTTTTGTAGTTACTTATCTCATTGGCTGTTGGAAGCAGCTCAGAGTGGCTGGGGCAAGCCAGTCAGATGGGTGGGTTATAAATAATAAAATTGTTGTTGTTGTTGTTATGGAAAAGGGTGTCACTATTTTCATCGGAGAAATGTTGGAGGGTATGTGTGTGGAACTAAACGTTCCTCCCCATGCACCGCTTTTCTGATACTGATCCCCACTCCTTTTGTCTTTGGCTGCTGTTTTTTTAAAAAATAAAACCCAGAGACATTCAATTCAGTCACATATTTAACCACGGAGCTGCTGACCTTCCCAGTTTGACTTCCCTTTCTAACCATTAGAAAATAGGATTAATGGACAGATTAATAAGAACAACAACATTCAAAGGGATGGATTTTTTTGGTGTATTACAAAGGAATTTCTTTAATACCAAAACGTTTTCCTTCCTGTCAAAAACCACCCCCAGTCAGAATGCAATCTTAGCATAACAAAAGGCAGTACCTTTGCTCAGAGCCACTGTCCCAGCTACACAATTGTTTATTGCTCATAAACGAAACTTAGAATTTCCTTTACTTAGAAAACAACCTGCCCACCCATATTTGGCTCTCTGTTGGTTTTCCAGTTTTCTAAGATGAATGGAATTTCACTAATTTGAGTAGGCTCAGGGAATTCCAAATTTGTCTCATCACATCTCTATCCCTGCAATCAAGAAGGCTGGTGTTTTATTGCAACATGCTTCTGGCAACACTAATAGTGCATTAGGTGTGGATTTATTCTGCTTTATTCGTTGTCCTGCGATGGTTCCCCACTGCTGCCACATTTCTTGCTCTCTGGAGGAACAGTAAAATAAAAGCCGGGCAAGCCCCCACCCTGGTCAAACCTCTGTCCTGAACCCCTGGCCTACCTGGCAGGAAATCCGTATTCCTTCCAGAATTCAAAGTCCAGGGGTCAATCCAAACAAGCAAATTCCAAAGGTCTGGAAACACAGTCCAGGGTCAATCCAAGTAGCCAAGTCTGAAGTCCAGCAGTCAGGATACTGTCCAGAGTCAAACCCAAAGCACAGCCCCATAGAGGTTCAGGAGCATCAAAGTCAAGGCCCGTCAACATAGGCAGTTGAGCAGAAACAGCACCTCAGCTCTGCTTCCATTTTGTACTTTATGTGCTGATGGCAGCCTACTCCAGCCAAGGGAACGCACACCTCCTCCCAGAGCTAGTGAGACTCACCTGGCCAACTACGGAGCTGGCTGTGGGCCCTTGCCTGCCTCAGCCTCCTAGAGCAGGGATGTCCAACAGGTTGATCGCGATCTACTGGTAGATCCCCGGGAGGTTTTGGTAGATCGCGGTCGATCGCTGGCTCCCTTTCCTTAGTGGTGGTAAAATAGAATCCGCCCCCACCCTCCGTCCTCCATTGTTGCATGATCTCCAGAACGTAAGATGGAGTTTTCGCAGTGATCTTTTGGCAAGCAACTTTCACCCTTTCTCCCTAAAAAAGCTCAACAACTTTGACCTGAACCGCCCGCCCCCCCGCAAACCCCCAAAAGGGGTAGATCACTGCCAGTTTTTTATTCTGTGAGTATATCGCAGTCTTTTAGGAGTTGGCCGTCCCTGTCCTAGAGCACCCCTCCCCAATGCTCCTACGCCTCAGAGCCCACCGTGTTCATGGAGACAGGGGCCCTTCTGGATCTGGTGATGGGTCCTGCTGCTCTGGTTTCTGTGCATTGACCCCCTATCCCCTCGCCACCCCCTGTGCATACTTCCTTCCCCATCCCCTGCACATTGAGAAGGAGCCCTGCCTTCCAAAATGGAAGATAACCACAAGCGTTTTTCCACCCTCAACTGGTGAAGGTTTCGGTGGAAAGGCCTTTCACGCAAAGCTCTAATTAGCCAGGCATATAAAAGAAGGATAAAGTTTCTGTTATAAGAATTTTAAGGTCATATATAAAAACATTAAATGTTCATAACTTTATATATGAACCACATGTCTGAAACCCCACAGATTAGGTCCTGAACAAATTGACCTCAAATATTTCTCTGCAAGGTCAAAGTGGGAAACCTCCCCATTGTCTCTTTCTTCACAAATCCTGTCTTAAGGGCACATTCAAGATATGAACAAGGTGTGAGCCTGTGACCTGGATTCAGGAATTAAGTAGTTATAATAACAAAAGAGTGGCCAAAACCCAGATGATGCAATCAAGTAACTTGCCAGACAGGAGATAAACAATGCACTCAGATTTCTGTTGTAGACTGCCTTTTCTGTGATGTATGTATGATGTTTCTGGGGGTGGTATTGGACTCCAGGGTAGGCAATTTAAAATGTCTATATAAGGGCAAGCACACCTTTGTTCTGGCTCCTCCTCCTCTCTCCTGCATGTGGGGGAGCACCCTGTTGCAACAGTTAATAAAGATCAGGCTTATTCGCTGCTTTGCTTCTCAATATTCTCAGGTTGGCCTCTGTTATTTTCTCCTACCGATAGAGAACCTACAAAAGGACTCTATATGGGCTCTTGGGTACCCCATAAGGGAAAAGGAGCAGTTTTTTTCTTATATCACTTTCTTCCTCAAAGATCCACTTGAGGCTAAAGACGAGGCAAAGGAGGAAGGTTGGGGGAAGGGTTTTGTCCTACCTTAGTTGCACTATAGCACAAGAGTGTCCTTCCAGATAGAAGTACCTATTTCACAGAAGAAAAATGGGCAAAGTGCCAAACTCTACCTTCCACAAAAAGAGGCAAAACACCTACACCCCTTTCAAGAAATAAATAGAGCAAGGTGGAATCAAGGACCACCTTTTTTTTAAAGGGACCCCTCCTTAACCAAAAAACAACAACAAATCCAAAGAAATTCCCAATTAAGAAAAATAGGAGGGACAGGGTGCCTTTATTTGGCTATTTATTTGGCGTCTTTAGTTTATTCATCTAAACATATGTCTATCCCTGTATTATTTTAAAAAAATCACAACTCATTTTAGAAGAGCTACAAAGCTCTTCCGGGGATTTTTAATATTGTTTTGGGT